GACTCTCACCTGTCCAGACTCTCACCTGTCCAGGGTCTCACCTGTCCAGACTCTCACCTGTCCAGGGTCTCACCTGTCCAGACTCTCACCTGTCCAGGGTCTCACCCGTACACGGTCTCACCCGTACACGGTCTCACCTGTCCAGGGTCTCACCCGTACAGGGTCTCACCCGTACAGGGTCTCACCTGTTCTGGCGAGCATACGGAGGACTTTGAGCTCTGGCTTCGGACCGCTGAGTTCTCTATCGAACATCACGTCCGATTCGCGAGATAACGCATGCGTGATACATCGTTTATTGTTATGGTTATAATTTTATATATCCATTCCATTCGGGCTCTATGGGCCATGTATCTGACTAGTGGTTCAGATTTGTGTGTGCCGTGATCAGTGTGAAGCTCATGTGATCAGTGTGAAGCTCATGTGATCAGTGTGAAGCTCATGTGATCAGTGTGAAGCTCATGTGATCAGTGTGAAGCTCATGTGATCAGTGTGAAGCTCATGTGATCAGTGTGAAGCTCATGTGATCAGTGTGAAGCTCATGTGATCAGTGTGAAGCTCATGTGATCAGTGTGAAGCTCATGTGATCAGTGTGAGGCTCATGTGATCAGTGTGAGGCTCATGTGATCAGTGTGAAGCTCATGTGATCAGTGTGAGGCTCATGTGATCAGTGTGAAGCTCATGTGATCAGTGTGAAGCTCATGTGATCAGTGTGAAGCTCATGTGATCAGTGTGAGGCTCATGTGATCAGTGTGAAGCTCATGTGATCAGTGTGAAGCTCATGTGATCAGTGTGAAGCTCATGTGATCAGTGTGAGGCTCATGTGATCAGTGTGAAGCTCATGTGATCAGTGTGAAGCTCATGTGATCAGTGTGAGGCTCATGTGATCAGTGTGGAGCGCATGTGATCAGTGTGAAGCGCATGTGATCAGTGTGAAGCTCATGTGATCAGTGTGAAGCTCATGTGATCAGTGTGAAGCTCATGTGATCAGTGTGAAGCTCATGTGATCAGTGTGAGGCTCATGTGATCAGTGTGAGGCTCATGTGATCAGTGTGAAGCTCATGTGATCAGTGTGAGGCTCATGTGATCAGTGTGAAGCGCATGTGATCAGTGTGAAGCTCATGTGATCAGTGTGAAGCTCATGTGATCAGTGTGAAGCGCATGTGATCAGTGTGAAGCTCATGTGATTAGTGTGAAGCTCATGTGATCAGTGTGAAGCTCATGTGATCAGTGTGAGGCTCATGTGATCAGTGTGAGGCTCATGTGATCAGTGTGAAGCTCATGTGATCAGTGTGAAGCTCATGTGATCAGTGTGAAGCTCATGTGATCAGTGTGAAGCTCATGTGATCAGTGTGCATATCACAGTCTCGTGGCTCATAGCGACTCATCCCTTGGGAAGTCCCACGTGTGTCCTAGCGTCTCCCCTAGCATCCCCCTTTCTCCCCACATCTCCCTATGCCCCCTTCTCCCTGCATCTTCCCATCCCATCTTTCCCGTGCCCCCCCCCCCCACGCGTCTCCCCCCACGCGTCTCCCCCCACGCGTCTCCCCCCACGCGTCTCCCCCCACGCGTCTCCCCCCACGCGTCTCCCCCCACGCGTCTCCCCCCAAGCGTCTCCCCCCACGCGTCTCCCAGGTGAGAGTGGAGGTGTGAGAGACCAGAGTGCGTCACGTTCCCAGGCGCCGGCACCGCCGTCACGCACGGTGGTGCCCGCCAAGCCCGGGCGGTGAGCGTTGAGCGCTGCCACCGCCGCCACCACCCTGGTGGGGGGGGGGGGCGTCACCCTCCACTTCCTCCCCGGAATCCGCGTGGCCAGGAGCTCCCGCAGGGGTCTCGGCGCACAGCACGCCGGCGGGCAGCAGAGCCAAATCGCGATTCGGTGCAGTGGTGGTGGTGCGGTGACATCACCGGCACCACCACCACCGCCGCTCCCGCACCACCTTCCACGTCCGCACAGTGGGCACGGGAAGGATGGCGCAGTTGGGAACGCGTGTGCCCAGCAGCAAGAAGAGCATGGGCTCCACTCCTGGCCCGTGTGTGTGAGTGTGTGCACACGTCAATTCTCACGGATCGCTAGCTCTTAGATTCACTTATTATGGTGGGGGGGGGGCGGTTTTCACTGAGTGGTAAACATTTGTCTCCTATTGCTGCTCGGCAAACTCAAGGGTTGTTGGTGGCTGTTGAGTGCCGCTGTCACGGTCCGCTTTTTCCAATTTCGAAAAAATTACACCGCGCGTCGCTCCGTGGCATTCCTGCACAGGGCGCATGGCACCACCGCCCCTGCTGGGACGCGACTGCAGTGCAGCAGCAGCAACAGCAGCGCCTTCCATGGCGGTGTCGCCGCACCGCACTATGAGAACGATCGCGCCACAAGCCAATGGACTCTGAGTGGAGATGCGTGTCGGGGAAGAGGGGTTTGGCGGGGTGGGGGGTAACGAGGGACGATGGAGAGGGCGGAATGTTGCCCACAGATGGGTTTCACTCTCCTGACCCTCCCCCCCCCCCCATCCTCCCCCCCCCACTCCGTCCGCTAGAAACTAAGACCCTACAGGAAGCGGGGATGGTGCGGAGGAATGCTCGTGTTTGTGAGCGGGCGAGCGAGCATCTGCCAGATTCTTCTGAGCCAGAAGTCTCATTCTTGCGTTGGGGTCGGCTCTTTGAAACTATTTTCTCCATGTGCTTGCGCTTTATGTCTCTTCTGGAGTCACGTGCTCGATGTTTACATATTCGAGTGATTTACTTGCACAGAGACCCGTAGACTTACTTAGACACCCGTAGACTTATATTTGCGTACGTGATCCATAGATTCACGTACAGACACATAGACTGAAATACACTCACATGTTGCTATAGTTCTCTGTGTGAGTGTGGTTCTCTCTCCATGCCAGTTTGTGGGCCTCTAATCTCTTCTCGACACGAGCCTAAACCCTCTAAGTCTCTTCTCCCTGTTCTTCTTGGGGTTATCGGTAACAATTCAGGCCAGCGATGCGTCACCGTGCTTTGACCACAACAGCGGCTGCTGCGTTAGTGCGTGTGGGAGAGCGGTAGCATAGTGGTAAGCCCACTGCCGTGCGTAAACATCAGCACCGGGAAGACAAATCGGTGGGGCGTGGTGCAGGCCACAGCACCCCCTCATCGGTGGATCGATCCGGCCTTCCTAGGCGCTCGCTCACGGCACTTTGCCCAACAACCTGTGCAGACTCCCTGGGGTATCTTTGTCTTTGTGTGTGTATTGTACGCGGTACACGCCTGGGGAGCTAATCAGGGACTCATTCAACACCTCCTTAATTGAGTTGTACTGGGGGGGGGGGGGGGGGCTCGTAGAGAACACAGTGCTAAAGGTTAATGCAGGGCTGTATCTTTAGCAGACGCAGCCATGCGTCCGTCCGTCTGTCCGCGTGAGGCCTCGAGTGCGAGTTGGTCTATGGCTGCTACTGCCCACTACCACCGCTCCTAATGACAAGCGTGACCGGCGGTGGGCCATCGCGACCTCGACAACAGCCAGTCGGGCGTAGCGTTCGTCGCCACCCGGCCTTTCGATTCGAACCCTTCGTCGAACCCCGACGGGTCTCTGTGTTGCGTTCCGCGTGTGCGATGTGTGTGTGTGTGTGTTGAGGAGCGGTGGCACAGTGGTTAGCACACTGCGCTATGAACCCCACGCCCCGAGGTGGATTCCCGTCAGTTAGTGGAGCCCTGGCGTGGGCCCTGCACCACCAGCAGCGGTCGCCTTGGTCAGTCGTTACGGAGGCCCCCACACGGAAGCTCGACTGGCCCCCCCATCCAAGAGGAGCCAGTAGGCTCCTCCCGCTCATGGCCAACATCGGTGACGAATATCTGAACCCCTCCTGGGCCTCCTCTAGGTCAACTGCACCTCAAATGAGACACCCGATGGCGCGTGTGTGTGGGTGTAAAACATCAACACTGGGAAGACAAAAGTGGCTGGGCGTGGTTCTGGCCACCCACCTCTTCCTGTGCCGTGTCAACCTTCAAATTCGCTCACGAACAACACTTGTCCCAAGAGTCTGTTCAAGGCTATACGGGTGATCTTTGTGTTTGATGTGGAACCCACCCAGCCTGCATAGGCTATGGAGGGGGTGGGGGGGGTGATCTTTGTGTTTGGTGTGATGTGTGCAGCTGTCACACGGGGGGCGTGATGATGATGGCTGCTAATCCGGTTGTTTAGGGCACGCAGGTGTCACTCAACCCTGGGGTTAATGGGGGGACCTGGAATGCCCCTCCCCCACACAGAAATTCGTGGTTTGAACATTTATCCTGTTTCTATGTATTTACTATTGACATATTCCACCTGGAAAAATCCCTCGTTGTTGGGCACATCTCGTTTGCAAGGGTTTCTAGATTTTATTTGAGGATTTTTTTTGAAGTCTCCTCTGCATTGCTTCTCAATATATTTCTCATAATAATGTCCGCTTGTGACACTGCTCCACTGCTGCATGGTCGCCGCCCTCTGCAAGAAGGAGAGAGGGGCCGACTCGGAGGTGCCATGAGGACGAGGAACCACAGAGAAGCAGGAAGGCAGCAGCCAGCAATTACCCTAGCTTTGCGGTTCTCTACATATCAAGGTGTTAGTGGGCAATTAATGTGTGGGAGGGAACCGGTGTTACCGGGGAGATCACACGGCGCCCACCGGGAAGGGGTTTCACAACAATTGTGTGATCCTCCAGGCTGTTCACAACGCTCAACACATTTTTTTATTATGAGCATATACTTTGCATATACTTTGCATCATCATAAATAATTGATTCGCTCACCCAAAATCCTGCGCGTGTGTTGTAAGCTTAAGGTCCGATTTGTATTTGAGGACTTGTTGCGCGCCTAATTCTTGACGTGTCTGTATCTGTCGCACACACGCACTCACACACACGTGTACACACACACACACGCGCACTCACACACACGTGTACACACACGTACACACACACACACGTGTACACACACACGCGTACACACACGCGTACACACACGCGTACACACACGCTGTGCAGGGCCTGCAGAAGCTGTCCTCGCAGTTCCTTCGGAGAGAGTGGAGCGTGCAAGAACCGGAGGGAGTGAACAATAGGTACTCTCACTCACACGCACACTCACACACTCACACGCGCACACTCACACACGCACTCACACACGCACACGCACACTCAAACAACAACAACCGCCATTCGCCACTAAGTGGCGGTGACGTCACCACGACGCTTGTGCCAGGCCATGTGCACCTTGAGGCCACGTGAAGTGTCGAACGCCCGCTGGCAGGAGGTCACGGGGCAGACCCAGGTGCCACGGGTCGACTGACTGAGATGACTGGCTGATGCACCACCTGTGCCCCCTGCTGTGCCAACCTGCTGTGCTTCAGCCACCCGGCGCTCCGCTCGTTGTTGTGAGCGTCGCTCCTCCGCCCTCCGTTGTTGTTGGAGGGCGACTGCCTCCAACTGCCCAGTAGCATCCTTCACGAGCCTCCTCCACAGAGGCCGATCTTGACACCGCTGGTACCAGTCATCGGCAAGTCCACTCAGCTCCACGTCCTCCTGTACCACATCACTCCATCTCTTCTCTAGCCCGTGCCGCGCCCGTTTAACCCCCTCGATCCGGCTGAACAAAAGCTGTTTCGGCATGCGGTGGCTGGGCATGCGGGCCACATGACCCAGCCAACGCAGCCTTGCCTGCCGGAGGAGCTCACTGATGGGACCTTGCCCAGATATTTCAAGGATTTGTGAGCTCCTCACACAATCGAGCCTGGTTAAACCCAAGATGGATCGTAGGCAGGCTAGCCTAAATGTTTCTAACCGGCGAAGATGTTCCATTAGGGGGGTCCACGTTTTGCAAGCGTAGAGAAGGGAGGGAATGACCGTGGCCGAGAAGACCTGAAGCTTAGTGCGAAGCGACAGACCAGGTAGCTTCCACACAGCGTTACGCAACCGATGAAAAGATATTGCCGCTTGACTGATTCGGAGTGAGACCTCTGCCTACACACACACTATATGTACATGTGCCTACACACACACACTATATGTACATGTGCCTACACACACACTATATGTACATGTGCCTACACACACACACACTATATAAACATGTGCCTACACACACACACTATATGTACATGTGCCTACACACAAACACTATATGTGCATGTGCCTACACACACACTATATGTACATGTGCCTACACACACACTATATGTACATGTGCCTACACACACACTATATGTACATGTGCCTACACACACACACTATGTACATGTGCCTACACACACACTATGTACATGTGCCTACACACACACTATATGTACATGTGCCTACACACACACACTATATGTACATGTGCCTACACACACACACTATATGTACATGTGCCTACACACACACACTATATGTACATGTGCCTACACACCCACTATATGTACATGTGCCTACACACACACACTATATATACATGTGCCTACACACACACTATATGTACATGTGCCTACACACACACTATATGTGCATGTGCCTACACACACACTATATGTACATGTGCCTACACACACACTATATGTACATGTGCCTACACACACACTATATGTACATGTGCCTACACACACACTATATGTACATGTGCCTACACACACACACTATATGTACATGTGCCTACACACACACTATATGTACATGTGCCTACACACACACACTATATGTACATGTGCCTACACACACACACTATATATACATGTGCCTACACACACACTATATGTACATGTGCCTACACACACACTATATGTGCATGTGCCTACACACACACTATGTACATGTGCCTACACACACACTATATGTACATGTGCCTACACACACACACTATATGTACATGTGCCTACACACACACACTATATGTACATGTGCCTGCACACACACTATATGTACATGCCTACACACACTATATGTACATGTGCCTACACACACACACTATATGTACATGCCTACACACACACACTATATGTACATGTGCCTACACACACACACACTATATAAACATGTGCCTACACACACACTATATGTACATGTGCCTACACACACACTATATGTACATGTGCCTGCACACACACTATATGTACATGTGCCTACACACACACACTATATGTACATGTGCCTACACACACACTATATGTACATGTGCCTACACACACTATATGTACATGCCTACACACACTATATGTACATGTGCCTACACACACACTATATGTACATGTGCCTACACACACACACTATATGTACATGCCTATACACACACACTATATGTACATGTGCCTACACACACACACTATATGTACATGTGCCTACACACACACTATATGTACATGTGCCTACACACACACACTATATGTACATGTGCCTACACACACACAATGTACATGTGCCTACACACACTATATGTACATGTGCCTACACACACACACTATATGTACATGTGCCTACACACACACACTATATGTACATGTGCCTACACACACACACTATATGTACATGTGCCTACACACACACTATATATACATGTGCCTACACACACACTATATGTACATGTGCCCACACACACACACTATATGTACATGCCTGCACACACTATATGTACATGTGCCTACACACACACACTATATGTACATGTGCCTACACACACCAACACATGCGCGCCTACAATAACAACAGCCGCCACTAAGTGCTGCTGATGTCACCACAGGGCTTGTGGAAGAGGACAGACCCAGGTGGCATGGGTTGACTGATTGAGATGGGTGGCAGATGCACCACCTGTGTTTCCCGCTGTGCCACGTGTGCGCACACACACACACACACGTACACACACGTACAAACACGGGTGTGCATGGTGTCGTGTGATGACGGTGGTGAGCGGCGATGGTGTGCCGGTGATGAGTGATTGCCCGTGACGGTGCGCATTGGCCCGTGATGGTGGATGGTGGCGGTGTGTCGTGGTGGTGTTACCCTGCCCGTGATGGTGGATGGTGGCGGTGTGTCGTGGTGGTGTTACCCTGCCCGTGGTGGTGGTGGCGGTGGCACATGGGTGGTGTGCCCTTGACGCTCGGTGTTAACTCCGTCCCTGTGCCGAGCCGCCGGGAACTCGGCCGGGGACTTCCCTCCCCGCACGCCCCCCTCTCTGCTTAGCGGCGCTCATGCGGTGCCATGCGACCGAACCCGGCGGTGTGCGTGGCGGCGAACAGCGCGGCGCAGTGCCGCCCGTAACTCCGCGCGTGGCGACCATCGCCCCCCCCTCCATGTCCCCCCAGCGGCAGCAGGAGCGCGTTCGCCGTGTGGCGCCTCGTGCTGCTCGGCACGCTGCAGGCCGCCAACAGCCGCCTCGTGGCGGCCGAGAGCTACCGGAGCCGCGTGGCCGAGCCGGCCAAGGCGGCGCGGGCGGCGCGCGACGCCCAGCTCAAGAAGGTGCGGCGAGACGCGAGACCCTCCCCCTCTCCCCGGGCACCCACACGGGGCACCCACACCGGGAGGGCCACCACCTCTCCGCCACCCGCGAATGCTCACCCACACTTCTCGCCCACGGTCGCCAATCCTTACCAATGTGTCATTGTCCGTGTGTGTTTGTGTCCATGTGTCCGTGTGCCCATGTGTCCGTGTACTTGTATCCGTGTGTCCATGTCTGTCTGTACGTGTCCATGTATGCGTGTCCCATGTCAATGTACTTGTGTCCCACGTGTCCGTGTGTGTCCGTGTGTACCTGTGTGGCCTGTGTGTTTGTTCGCGTCCGTGTGTCCACGTGCATGTGTCTGTGCATTTGTGCCATTGTGTGTCCCCGTTTGTGTCCCGTGTCCCCCCCCCCGGTGTGTATCCCCGTGTGTCCCCGCAGTGCTCGGACCGTCTGGTGACTCTGCAGGCTGAGCTCGCCGACACGGTGAAGGAGCTGGAGAAAGCCAAGAAGAGATTCTCTGAGCTGGAGCGATTGTCCAATCAGACGCGAGGAAAGAGTGGGGACACTGAGAGCTGGTAGGACAGGGAGATGAGGAGATGGGGAGATGGGGACACGGGGAGATGGGGACACGGGGAGATGGGGACACGGGGAGATGGGGACACGGGGAGATGGGGACACGGGGAGATGGGGACACGGGGAGATGGGGACACAGGGACACGGGGAGATGGAGGACATGGGGACATGAGGACACGGGAAGATGGGGAGATGGGGACACAGGGAGATTGGGAGATTGGGAGATGGGGGAGATGGGGACACGGGGAGACAGGAACATGATTACACGGGGACAAGGAGACACACGAACACAGGGACACAGGGCACACGGGGACAAGGTGATTGGAGCAGCGTGTGATGCGCGTGTGCACTGGGTTCTCCAGGCTCAAGCGGAGCGAGTTCAGCAGCCTCTTCCACTCCAAGGCGAGCCTGCAGAAAGCCAACGCCAGGGTGAGTCCGCCTGCACCGCCACTGGCGCCACCGCCACTGGCGCCAGCGCCACGATCGTGGTGTTTGTGGTGCGGTGTTGGTCGTCACCTGGGTCGCGACGTTGACCGAGGCGTGCCGGTGTCGCGGTTGCCCGCCAGATGGTGGCGAGGCGGAAGGAGTGCCACGTGAAGCTGCGGCAGGCGCGGAACGAGTACGTGATAAGCGTGGCGGGCGCCAACGCTCACCAGCAGCGCCACGCCAGCACAGACATCCCCGCGCTGCTCTCGGTATGCCTCTCTCTCCTCTACACAACCTCTCCCTCAACCTTCCACAGTCTCCCTAAACTCTCCACAAACTCTCCACGGCCGCCACCCTCGGCAGCGTAGCCCAGTTGGCGCGGGGGGCACCCTGTTGCCGTTGCACCGCCTGGGCACTCGGGAGCCACGCCACCCCCTCGGGCTCCACGGGCCACGGCCGCCAGCGCCGCGGTCCGGGTGGCCTCGCGCGGCCGGCACGTCGAGGCCCCCGGCGCGAGAGGGCGTGGAACGGTGCCCGCTGCCATCCACCGCCCTCCTCCGTGGCCCGGCGCCCGCGCCGGCGCGGTCGCACCGCCCGCGCGCACTCGATAGCCGGCGTCGAGTTGACCCGCCACGGCCGTGCCCGGCAGCGGGCGGCGTCCGTCGGTGCGGTGTCGCCACCCGGTGGCCGATTCGCGGTGGGCGGCGTGGCCAAGCCAACGCGGGCCCGGGGGGGAGGATAGTCGAGCAAGGTGACGCGACGATGAAAATAACCGCCGAGTGGGGCGAGTGCGGCATCAGCGCTGGGGAGACAAAGGTGGCCGGGTGTAGGTGCTTGCACCACACTGGCCTCGTGCGCCTTGCCGGCCTTCTTGGGTACTCGATGAGCTGTCTGGCGACGCTGACGCTGCTGTTGCGATGGCTGTGGTGCAAGAGCACAAATAACACACGTTTGTCAATAATACAACCCTGTGGTCTTAAAGAGAAAGATATATAATGGATGAAAACTTGGGCCATGGCCTTTCGTCATGACACATAAATAAAACTGCGAGCACAGCACTCGCCCCCGCAGCACTGTTGGGGTGACACGGCCCCCCCCTCTCGCCGTGAGAGCGAGGAGCGGATACCGTGCGCTAGCGGTGGCACAGCATCGCGAGTTGACGTCGTTACGATGATGATTGCCTATGTGTGTGCGTGTGTGTGTGTGCGCACGTGCGTGCGTGCCTGCGTGTGCGCGCCTGTGTGTGCGCGGGTGCGTGTGTGTGGGCGCGCGTGCGTGTGTGTGGGTGCGTGTGCGCGCTGCAGGCTCTGGATGGCGACGTCTACGAGCGGCTGTGCGAGTATTTCTGCGTGCTGGGCCAGACGGAGCTCGAGTCGTGCCAGAGCACGCAGGAGCCCTTCGTGGCCCTGCTGCAGGCCGCACACGGGGTACGCACACACGGATGCGCGCGTTGGCACGTGGGGAGCGGGTGTGCGGTGGTCAGTGCACTGCGCTACGAACCTGGTGACCCACGTTCGATTCCCGCTCGTGGCCACCATCGGTGACAATTATTTGAACCGGTCCGGGGCCTCCCTCAGTTCATTTTAGCCTTAAATGAGGACCTGTTGCGGTGTGTAAACATTTCCACTGGGGAGACAAAGGTGGTTGGGCTACACGCCATTGGGGAGACAAAGGTGGCCGGGCTACAAGCCCGGAAGACCAGAACCTGTTCAAATATTTGCCACTAATGTTAGCCATGAGCGGGAATCGAACTCGGTTCGATGGATTCATAGCGCAGCGCGCTATAGACACTGCACGCACACAGACGCACGCACGCGCAAGTGCGGTCACGTATGCACACGCACACACACATGCGCACGGTCGTGCTGTACGTGTGTTGCACGAGTTCCGTATACGTACCGAGCGTGCCGTGCACTGCGCGAGGCGGTGCGCTGTCTATGTATTGAGTGCTGTCCTGAGCGTGCTGTGCACTGCGCTGCTGCCGTAGGTGTCTCGCGAGCACGACCTGAAGCTCTTCCTGCGTGAGAACGCGGTGGTGACGGAGCTGCCGCCCTTCTGCGCGCACACCGGCGACGACGCCGTGAGTCCCTCTCCCGTGCTCCATCCATTGCTGCACAAAGGCCGACTCGGGCCGTCGCCGCCTCTCGCGGCAGCGGTCCCGGCGACGCAACGGTCCTCGTGGCCTCCACGCACGGGTCGATTCCGCTGCTCCGTCTCTGTGGCAGGGTCGCTATCCCGCGCGGCACCCGCTCGCGCGGTCGTCTGCCACACCGCTCACCGGGCCTCACCGGGCCGCACCGCCCTCCCTCTCGGCCGGTTTGGCCGCTAACCCCAACGCCCAAACGCGGTCCCGCCGTCCGGACGGCGCGCGCCCCCCTCCCTGGCCCCGGCGGGGTGCGGGAGGCGTTTGGAGGTTGGGGGAAAGACCTCAATAAAGATGAACAAACGGAGATTTAATTTGAGAAGCCGCGTGGGCGCACGGGCGTGCGGGCGGGCACGCTCGGCCCGGATTGAATCGGCTTCTCTGTGCAAACATCTCCCTCCCGCTCCTCCGCCGAGTGGGCGCGACCTCCACCCAATGAGTTTCTTTGGCTGCAAAGTTCGATGCGCGTCGGGTGTGTGTGTTGTCGTGGGTGGGCGTGTGCATTGCGTATTGCCCATGTGAGCGTGTGTGATGTCGTGCGCGTGTACGTTACTTATTGCCCGATGCGTCCTGCGCATGTGCTCCGTCACACGTGTGACGGTAGGCGTGTACGCACTGAATGTTCTATTTTCATCACAAGCTTTGTTCCCGGCTCCTCCTTATTTCCCCTGCGTTTTCTATTTATCACCAGGTCTCCCAAAATAGACTCGTATTGTTCTGTGCTTCTGTGCTCCCACGTCTGTGTCCCCCGCCGGCACCACTCTATACCAACCAACGTGGCGAAGTATGGTCACAGAAACGCCACAAAACCCGCGCTCTGTGGGGAACCCTAATCCAGCAGTCGCCCTCCTCTGTGGTCTGTCCACCTGCGCCTATTCCCTGCCCCCTGTCTCCTCTCCCGTGTCCCCTGTCCCCTAACCCTTGTGCCCTATCCCCTGGCCCCTATCCCCTTTTCCATCTTTCCCCTGTCTCCAGGGTCCCGAGCTGCTGGGCCCTGAGGAGGGAGCAGAGGAGGTCGACCAGAGCCTGGACAAGGAGGCCCGCAAGTGGGCCTCGAAGGTGGCACGCGACCACAAGGTCTCCGTACACGCCCAGTGGGTGAGTCTCCCACCCAGCCAGTGAGTGAGTCTTCCACCCAGCCAGTGAGTGAGTCTCCCACCCAGCCAGTGATTGAGTCTCCCACCCAGCCAGTGAGTGAGTCTCCCACCCAGCCAGTGATTGAGTCTCCCACCCAGCCAGTGAGTGAGTCTCCCACCCAGCCAGTGAGTGAGTCTCCCACCCAGTGAGTGAGTGAGTCTCCCACCCAGCCAGTGATTGAGTCTCCCACCCAGCCAGTGAGTGAGTCTCCCACCCAGCCAGTGAGTGAGTCTCCCACCCAGTGAGTGAGTGAGTCTTTCACCCAGCCAGTGAGTGAGTCTCCCACCCAGTGAGTGAGTGAGTCTTCCACCCAGCCAGTGAGTGAGTCTCCCACCCAGCCAGTGAGTGAGTCTCCCACCCAGCCAGTGAGTGAGTTTCCCAACCAGCCAGTGACTGAGTCTCCCACCCAGCCAGTGATTGAGTCTCCCACCCAGCCACTGAGTGAGCCTCCCACCCAGCCAGTGAGTGAGTCTCCCACCCAGCCAGTGAGTGAGTCTCCCACCCAGTGAGTGAGTGAGTCTTCCACCCAGCCAGTGAGTGAGTCACCCACCCAGCCAGTGAGTGAGTCTCCCACCCAGCGATTGATTGAGTCTCCCACCCAGCGATTGATTGAGTCTCCCACCCAGCCAGTGAGTGAGTCTCCCACCCAGCCAGTGAGTGAGTCTCCCACCCAGTGAGTGAGTGAGTCTTCCACCCAGCCAGTGAGTGAGGCTCCCACCCAGCCAGTGAGTCAGTCTCCCACCCAGCGAGTGAGTGAGTCTCCCACCCAGCCAGTGAGTGAGACTCCCACCCAGTGAGTGAGTGAGTCTTCCACCCAGCCAGTGAGTGAGTCTCCCACCCAGCGATTGATTGAGTCTCCCACCCAGCCAGTGAGTGAGTCTCCCACCCAGCGATTGATTGAGTCTCCCACCCAGCCAGTGAGTGAGTCTCCCACCCAGCCAGTGAGTGAGTCTCCCACCCAGTGAGTGAGTGAGTCTTCCACCCAGCCAGTGAGTGAGTCTCCCACCCAGCCAGTGAGTCAGTCTCCCACCCAGCGAGTAAGTGAGTCTCCCACCCAGCCAGTGAGTGAGTCTCCCACCCAGTGAGTGAGTCTTCCACCCAGCCAGTGAGTGAGTCACCCACCCAGCCAGTGAGTGAGTCTCCCACCCAGCCAGTGAGTGAGTCTCCCACCCAGCCAGTGAGTGAGTCTCCCACCCAGCGAGTGAGTGACTCTCCCACCCAGTGAGTGAGTGAGTTTTCCACCCAGCCAGTGAGTGAGTCACCCAGCCAGTGAGTGAGTCTCCCACCCAGGCAGTGAGTGAGTCACCCACCCAGGCAGTGAGTGAGTCACCCACCCAGCCAGTGAGTGAGTCACCCACCCAGCCAGTGAGTGAGTCTCCCACCCAGCCAGTGAGTGACTCTCCCACCCAGCCAGTGAGTGAGTCTCCCACCCAGTGAGTGAGTGAGTCTTCCACCCAGCCAGTGAGTGAGCCTCCCACCCAGCCAGTGAGTCAGTCTCCCACCCAGCGAGTGAGTGAGCCTCCCACCCAGCCAGTGAGTGAGTCTCCCACCCAGTGAGTGAGTCTTCCACCCAGCCAGTGAGTGAGTCACCCACCCAGCCAGTGAGTGAGTCTCCCACCCAGTGAGTGAGTGAGTCTTTCACCCAGCCAGTGAGTGAGTCTCCCACCCAGTGAGTGAGTGAGTCTTCCACCCAGCCAGTGAGTGAGTCTCCCACCCAGCCAGTGAGTCAGTCTCCCACCCAGCGAGTGAGTGAGTCTCCCACCCAGCCAGTGAGTGAGTCTCCCACCCAGTGAGTGAGTCTTCCACCCAGCCAGTGAGTGAGTCACCCACCCAGCCAGTGAGTGAGTCTCCCACCCAGCCAGTGAGTGAGTCTCCCACCCAGCCAGTGAGTGAGTCTCCCACCCAGCGAGTGAGTGACTCTCCCACCCAGTGAGTGAGTGAGTTTTCCACCCAGCCAGTGAGTGAGTCACCCACCCAGCCAGTGAGTGAGTCTCCCACCCAGGCAGTGAGTGAGTCACCCACCCAGCCAGTGAGTGAGTCACCCACCCAGCCAGTGAGTGAGTCTCCCACCCAGCCAGTGAGTGAGTCTCCCACCCAGCGAGTGAGTGACTCTCCCACCCAGTGAGTGAGTGAGTTTTCCACCCAGCCAGTGAGTGAGTCACCCACCCAGCCAGTGAGTGAGTCTCCCACCCAGGCAGTGAGTGAGTCACCCACCCAGCCAGTGAGTGAGTCACCCACCCAGCCAGTGAGTGAGTCTCCCACCCAGCCAGTGAGTGAGTAAGTCACCCACCCAGCCAGTGAGTGAGTCTCCCACCCCACCAGTGAGTGAGTGAGTCTCCCACCCAATGAGTGAGTCTCCCACACAGCCAGTGAGTGAGTCCTTCATCCAACAACTTCAAATACCTGTGAAACGAATGTCAGCTGTTAAACAGCGTGAGTGACAATGTGATCTCCTCCCGTCTATCGTGCACTCCGCTCTCGTCTGTGCTCTCAGACGCGATGTAAACGGTGGCCACCAGGTAGAGGAGAGGCTGCGACGCCCATCCCTTCATGTCATCAGTTGCGTTAAATGCTAAATTTTTCACGAGCGGTGTTTTTGCTGCGACGATAATAATCTAACTGTGGGGCTAGGCCTTCCAACTTGCTTCCTGACACTACATGGCTGTGCGGGAGCGTGGTGAGCCACCTCGATTGCGGGGCCCCCTCTAGGTCAACTAAGCCTAAAATAAGCAGCCGCGTGACGAAACACGAGGCTCCCCGTGCCGCGTCGGCTGTGACGGGCGCTCGCCGACCGCACCGGCTGACGTGGGTCTCTGTCTGTACTGCGGCTAATGATGATGGTGCTGATGATGGTGCTGCTGATGATGCTGATGCTGCTGTAGGTACTCCAGGAGCTGGAGGGGCAGATAGCGGGCGCGGGGGGCCCGGGGGGAGTTCTGGATCCGGCCGCCAACCTTGACCTGGAGGCAAAGATGGAGGAAGCACGGGAGAGCATCCGGAAAGCGGAGGTGAGACGCTCGCTCGCACGCACGCACGCACAAAGATCCCCCGTTTAGTTTTAAACATTCTGCTGGGGCAAGTGCTCTTAGCGAGCACCTGTTAAGGCCGGCATGGTGCACGAGGGGTGGGGGGGGGTAGCCAGCCCCATTCTCGCCCCTCTTTGTCTCCCTCGCGTGTTGAGGCTTATACATTGCACCGGCTACTAAGTTGGCCGCCGTGAGCGGGAATCAAACTCGGGCTGGCCGGGTTCGGTGACACGGTGCACTAATCACTGACCGACCGCTCCCCATGCGCACACCCACACACGCAGTGACGCACATCTACAGCATTAACACCGTGTGTAGCCTTAAAAGGAAAATATATCGTAGGCAACATTTCTGGTAATGGCCCTTCTTCATAGCACTTTTATGTGCAGTGTTATTTTTGCATTATTATTGACAAATGTGTTGTTTGTGTGTTGAGCGTCCTCTCCATCAGCGTGCGGTGTGTACTTCTAAAAGTGTCTCCCTATCTTCTCTCCGTGTATCTCGTTGTCTCTGTCCATGTCTCTCTCCCCGTGTTCTTCTCCCCGTGTTCTTCTCCCCGTGCCTCTCTCCCCGTGTCTCTCTCCCCACGTCTCTCTCCCCGCGTCTCTCTCCGCGTGTCTCCCCGTGTCTCTCTCCGCGTGTTCCTCTCCCCGCGTCTCTCTCCCTGTGTTCTTCTCCCCGTGTCTCTCTCCCCGTGTTCTTCTCCCTGCATCTCTCTCCCCGTGTCTCTCTCCCCGTGTTCTTCTCCCCGTGCCTCTCTCCCCGTGTCTCTCTCCCCGTGCCTCTCTCCCCGTGTCTCTCTCCCCGCGTCTCTCTCCCCGTGTCTCTCTCCCCGCGTCTCTCTCTCTGCGTGTTCTTCTCCCCGCGTCTCTCTCCCTGCGTCTCCCCGTGTTTCTCTCCGCGTGTTCCTCTCCCCGTGTCTCTCTCCCCGTGTTCTTCTCCCCGTGTCTCTCTCCGTGTGTTCCTCTGCCCGCGTCTCTCTCGCCGTGTCTCTGTGCTAGCCGCTCTCAAGCGCAGGACTTTTGAATCGTTCTCGTACCAGCCGTGGGGATAATTAGCGAGCGCGCGGGAACCTTTGTGGAGGTTTAAAATGAGACGCGGCGATTCCCCGTGCCATAATAACCCCGCTGGTGTTATTATAATTATTATGATAATAACCCCGTTGGTGTTATTATCATTATAATGATTCCGCTGCCTGTCGGCAAAGGCAGAAGTGATGATGATTGGGTTTGGGTGGTGGCGAGCGCCAGCGGGGCGGTGGGTTGACGTCGGTGATGTCGGCGTTGTCGTGATGGGCGGTCTCGTCGGCGATGTTGACTTTGGTGGGCGAGCGACGATTGTGCGATGTTGCGGGGCGAGTCCGCATCGGTGACTTGATGCGTACGAGTAGGCGATGTTGCTGTGACGATGATGGTGAATGTAGGCGTCACGAGTGACTGTTCAGGCTGGGTGGGGCGGTGTGTGTTGATTGGCTTACCATGAGAGGCGGGCGGCGGTTGGGGATGTATCCGTGGGGGTGGTGGGGGGGTGGTGTAGGAAGCTGTGAACGAGACGAGGCTTGACACTTAATTAGTGGAGCGAGTGGTGGCCGTGTGGAGTGGCGCCGCCGATTGATTGACTCTGTTAATCCTTGCGCTGCACTCAGCACCCCCCCCCCCCCCGTACACTCACAGAGACCCACGTGGGTCTATGGGTCTCTATGTGAGTTTATGGTCTCTATGTGAGTCTGCATCAGTCTTTCGGTCCAAAGTGTGAGTAGGATAAAGATGTTCTTATAGGAGTCCCGATGGGGATTACGGCAAGGGGGCAGTGGGAGGCAGTGGGGGGTAGGTTTCCTTGGAAGCTGGCAGGGCGGAGTGGGGTTGGCTGCACCAGTGGTTTCTCGCCATCATCAGCCATAGTAAATCCACTGCTGGATGAAGGCACTCCCCAAGCCGCCACCATTCTAGATTGTGGTGTCTGCTGCTGCTGGTGGTGAAGATGAAGCGGCAGATAAACTGCACGATGATGACGATGATACTGATGACGACGATGATACTGATGACGATGATGACGATGATACTGATGACGATGATGACGATGATGACGATGATGACGATGATACTGATGACGATGATGACGATGATACTGATGACGATGATGACGATGATACTGATGACGATGATGACGCTGATGACGATGATGACGATGATGACGATGATGAACATTAAACATTAAAACTAAATCAAAGTGTTCATCTTCCTCCCAATTATCCTCCCGTTGTGCTGCAATCGGCGGCACGGTGCGGTGGAGGGAGGGGGGAAGGGGGGGAGCGATCCACTCACACGCAGCCCTCTAGCATCGCCCCCCCCCCCCCACGGCATTGGGTAACGGCCTCTGGGGGGCCAAGGGGGGTTCTTTCCTTGGCTCAAACACAGCGCTCTGCCACCCCCCCCTCTCACCGCCCCCCTCCACGGTTTTGGAGATCAAGAACCGTTAATAAATGGCCGACTAACGAGCTGGGGAGAGACTGCCTTGAATTGGGACAGTGGGGGGGAGTGGTGAGGCAAGCTGGTGAGAGGTAAGGTGCAGTGACTTAGTTGAGTCGTAAGGAGAAGTTATGAGGTGGAGCGGTGTGGTGGAGCGGTGTGGTGGAGCGGTGAGGTGGAGCGGTGAGGTGGAGGGTGAGGAGGAGGGTGAGGTGGAGCGGTGAGGTGGAGCGGTGAGGTGGAGGGTGAGGAGGAGGGTGAGGTGGAGCGGTGAGGTGGAGCGGTGAGGTGGAGGGTGAGGAGGAGGGTGAGGAGGAGGGTGAGGTGGAGCGGTGAGGTGGAGCGGTGAGGTGGAGGGTGAGGTGGAGCGGTGAGGTGGAGCGGTGTGGTGGAGCGGTGAGGTGGAGCGGTGAGGTGGAGGGTGAGGTGGAGCGGTGAGGTGGAGGGTGAGGAGGAGGGTGAGGTGGAGCGGTGAGGTGGAGGGTGAGGAGGCGGATGAGGATGAGCGGTGAGGTGGAGCGGTGAGGTGGAGCGGTGTGGTGGAGCGGTGAGGTGGAGCGGTGAGGTGGAGGTTGAGGAGGAGGGTGAGGTGGAGCGGTGAGGTGGAGCGGTGAGGTGGAGGGTGAGGAGGCGGATGAGGATGAGCGGTGTGGTGGAGCGGTGTGGTGGAGCGGTGAGGTGGAGCGGTGAGGTGGAGCGGTGGGGTGGAGGGTGAGGAGGAGGGTGAGGTGGAGCGGTGAGGTGGAGCGGTGAGGTGGAGCAGTGAGGAGGAGGGTGAGGTGGAGCGGTGAGGTGGAGCGGTGAGGTGGAGCGGTGAGGAGGAGAGTGGGGTGGTGAAGTGGAGCGGTGAGGTGGAGCAGAGTGGTGGAGCGGTGTGGTGGAGCGGTGTGGTGGAGCGGTGTGGTGGAGCGGTGTGGTGGAGCGGTGAGGTGGAGCGGTGAGGTGGACACCGGTTCATGCTGCCACCAATGGAATCCGCCGCGCTCTCTGAGCGCCCAATCAGGAGGTTAATGCCAAATGAAATATAAATATATAATCGTCAGATGTTGGCTTAAATAAATAACGAAGACATTTAATTAGGTCCCTCGCTTTTCAAATCGTTACTCACTGATTGGTAAGCGCCGTGCTGGGAGGAGATGTGAGGAGGCGTGGGGGAGGGGAGTGATTGTGGGTAATCTGGAGCCACCTGTGACCCCCCCCACACAAAAAGACAAAGCTCCCCCTATAGCCTTTACAGACTCTTGGAACAAGTGCTGTCAGCGAGTAGCACCTATGAAGGCTGGCACGGCACACGAGGGGGTGGTGGAGCCGCACGCACGCACGGGCGACATTCACACAATACTCCGCACGTGTATACACGCTTGTGCCAGGCTGGGTGTGCTCTGAGGCCCTCAGTGCAAGTGTGAAAGGTGCGCTGCTAACACGAGATCATGGGACAGGCTCGCGTGGTATCGGCACAGACGGATGCACCACCTGTGCTGGAAAGGCGACCTTCATCCAGCAGTGGATAGACCACGTGTCATGGGAGATTTTTGTCTCGCAGTGCATAGCCCGTGTCACATGATGATGGACAGTGACGACGACGATCACGACGACGGTGACACGCGGAGCTGCGTGCGTGTATGAGAGGGACGCTCGGCGAGTCTCGTGACCCACACAGCGCCCCGTGCCGGTGACGGTCGCTCGCCGCGCTCGCCGTGAAGGCGACGCGGGGAAGGGAACCTCCGGCTCGCCACCGTGACGGAGGCGGCGTGACACGGCAGGAATACCAACGTGGTTGGCCCACCCCCAGCCCCCAGCCCCTCCCCCCCCCCATGCTACTCGCGTTCTGAATTGGAATGCGGTCCCTGGCTCGGGTTGTCCCTGCTGCCCACGCCACCGGCGGGCGCCCACCGCTTCCCTCGCCCTCCTCCCTTCCTCGCCAAGCACCACCACCTCCCTCTCCTCTGCAATCCTCCACCTCGACACCCAAACCACACCACCACCACCCCACATCTCCCCTCCACATCTTGGACCATCACCATCCCCGTCCCACCTGACACCATCTCTGCCCCTCCTCCTCGCCCCGGGGCTCAGATGCACACCGGTCCCCAGTCCAGTGCTTCAACTGCCCCCCCCCCCCCTCTTCCAACTCGCAGCGATTTTGTGATTGGTCACGACTGAATTTCTCAGAGCCGCTTGTCGATAACGCAGAACTCCACATTTGCGTCGCTGCTCGCGAACGTGCGATGGGGCTGCTTCGTACGGTCGTCATCCCCTCGCTCCCTGGGCCTCCGCGCTGGCACCAAGCACTCGACTCGCACATACACACGCTCCGACTCGCACATACACACGCTCCGACTCGCACGTGCACACGCTCCGACTCGCACATACACACGCTCCGACTCGCACATACACACGCTCCGACTCGCACGCATCGCCATCGCTTCGACGCACGTGTCGCCATCACAAGGCGGTGGGGGGGGGCTGTCCAGTGGCCCCCCCAGGGAGGCCGTGTGGGCCCCCTTCATAGGAGGGTGGTGGAGGTGTTGGGTGGGGGACAGGTGCCGGTCAGGCGGTGCAGTCGGCCACCACCAGCACCTCTATGGCCGCCATCGTGAATATTTGATTTGGGGTCTCCCCGTTCTTGCGGTTGGTTGTGACGGTGTTGTTGTGTGCGTGCACTCGTCCGTGTCTGCATGCACGTGTGCACTCGTCCGTGTCTGCATGCACGTGTGTGTGTGCATGCGTGTGTGTGCACGTGTGTGTGTGTGCATGCGTGTGTGTGCATGCGTGTGTGTGCATACGTGTGTGTGCATGCGTGTGCGTGCATAACTGTGTGTGTGGCAGGACCGCCCGTATGCACGACACGCACGCGTGACTTCCGGCTCGGAGAAATCTCTCCTCACGGCCCCCTCCCCTGTCCACCCTCCTTGCCGCCGCCGTTACATCTTTCCCCTCCTCGTCTCTCCCCTCCCCGTCTCTCCCCTCCCCGTCTCTCCCCTCCCCGTCTCTCCGTGTCTCCCTCGCTCCCCCTCACTCCCCCTCATTGCTCAGTTATTTCCTTACTGCCGCATAGCTCCATTCTGCAATTTCTCGTGCTTCCCTCGCTCCCTTTGGCTTTCCCAATACCATGTCCCCTCCCTCCCTCCCTCCCTCATTTGATTCTCTCCCCTCTCTCTGCTCCCAGCACCGCTTCCCTAGCACTGCACATTCATGAAGGGCAACGTGATCTGATTTACGCTGGATGTGCAATATTTGCGTTTTTAATTTGCCCTAAATTACAGAATTGTGGCTGTAAATTGCTCTGGCTCAGAGTAATAATGAATAAAGTGTGCGGAGGGGAGGGGTGGCCGGGCCGCGCGGGGTGGGGGGTAATGGGGAATGCAGGGGATTATGGGAGAAGCGGGGGTTTGTGGGTAGAGACGAGTACAATATTAATTGTATGTCTACTATACGAGTTAGAAGAATGAAGGTGTGTATATGTGTCATGACGTGTGCCATGCATGTGCGTAGTTGTGAGCAGTAGTGGTTAGTACATGGCACTATGAACCAGGTGACCCGAGTTTGATTCCCACTCAAGACCGATAGCAGTGGCAATCCGGGCGACCTGCCAGGTTCCACCTGTGGCCTCTGGAACAAGCTGTGAATGCCGTACCGCTGAGCCATATTACTGCGCCTATTGCGAATAATAATAATAATAATAATGTTTCGTTTTATTCAGCAACGTTCACACAAATTGCATCTCACAGTAGCCGAGGAAGCACAGACGAGCGGAGGGTCGGTAGCCAGGCGGCGAGCTGGCGCTACCAGCAATTGCACAAGCTCTGCAGTGCTTTATATATGAAGATGTTTCCAGCCAATTAACGAGTGTCTATACATATTTGAGGAAACCGTAGCACCCGGGGAAAACCCCCGCACGTGAGAGGCGCAACACGTCTGTGCCGTGCAGATGGCACTGACGTAGATTAGTCCGCACTTTGCCGCACCGCCGCCTCTTGGCCAGCCGGGGCACCGCGTCGATGCCCACGGGAACGGAGTTTGGCGAAACCTAATCGACCTCCTCGACCAATCGCCAAGGAGGTGGCAGAGTCCCCCACCGCCCCCCTTCATTGCCCCAGCTACGGTGATTCCCCCTGCGGCGGTGATGGTGGCGCGAGCGTGGCCGGCACCGAGCACGATCTTGAGCGCCCGTCGCCCTGCGGCGTTCTGAGCTCTGCACGTCCGCAGCGGAGCCGCGTTCACACCGATCGGTCCTCCGGGTCGCTGGGCCGACTGGAGCAGTCGACGCGTGGCTGGCGGTATACCTCGCCAGGGAGGTCTCCACTGTTTGTTGCCTCTCTGTCACGGCCGCCACCCACCCCCGCCCTCGTGAGAAATGCGGCGTGCGGCTGGTTTTTGTGCATGGTGCGATGCGGGGTGAGCGAGGGTGCACGTATGTGTGCGTGCAGGTTTGTGTGTGTGTGTGTCTTTGTGCGCGTGCGGCGCATGTGTGTGCGCGTACATGTGCGAGCGTGCGCATACGTGCGTGCATGTGTGCGCCTACGTGCATGAGCGCACTTAGACGCTAGCACACGCGTTGCTTGTGTCTGTGCGCGTAAGTGCATACGTGCCTTGGCGTTCAAGCGTACCACTGCCAATTACAGCTGCCAGACAGAGAGACATGTGGCCTCCCCTCCCCACCTCCCCCTCACCCACCTACCCACCACTCAACCCACACCATTAGCGGGGGGGAAGTGCGTTGTGTTCGTGGTGACGCTTCGAGTGGGAGTGACCGACGAATGGGAATGGTTGAGGTGTCACTATCGGGAACACGGGGACGTAGCAATGTGGGATACGGGGACACAGGGACATGGGAAGATGAGAACACGGGGACTTGGGAAGCTAGGATGTGGGACGTGATGACACGCGATTATGGGAAGATAGCAGGAAGGAATATGGGAACATAGGAATGCAGGTAGATGAGAGCACGAACCCGGGAACTAGGGAACATGGAATCATGGGAATCCAGGGAGACGAGGACACGGGGAACACCGGTGCCAAGTCGGCCGTGTGTCTCTGACGGAGTGAGACCGTGTCACCTCCGCTCCCCCGCTCAGCGTCCCCGTGACCCCCACGACCCCCGCGACCCTCACCGCGCTTCCCCGCACCGACGCCATCGCCTGCGGAGACGCGAGTGGCGCCGACTCCCCGTGATGGCAGAGAGAGAGACGTTCACTCGGCTCCAGTCAGCACGAGCATCTGCTCTCAACAAATCGGCCTAATGACCGCAGCGTGCCTGCGTACGTGTTGTGTGTGCATCGCCTGCCAGTGCGTGCAAGCACCTGTGCGTGCATGCGCACGTGTGTGCACGTGTGTGTTGTGTAGCGTTCAGTAGTGTAACGGTTAGCGTGCTGCGCCACGAACCCAGCGACCCGAGTTCAATTCCCTCTCGCGGTCAACAACGGTGATGATTATCTGAATCAGTCTGGGCCTCCTCTAGATCGACTGAGCCTCAAATGAGTACCTGGTGCGGTGTGTAAACATCGCCACTGGGGAGACAAAGGCGGTTGGGCGTGGTGTTGGCCACCCACCCCCTCGTGTACTGTGCCGGCCTTCATAGGTGCTCGCGAACAACACTTGCCCCAACAGTGTGTTCAAGGCCATATGAGGGGTGTTTGTCTTTGTGTTGTGTAGTGGCTGCATACATGCGTTTATTCGTGTGTGCGTGCGTACGTGTGTTCGTCGCGTGTCCATTCCTTGGTGTACATCTGTGCTTTGCGTGTGTTTGTGTGTGTACGTGCCTGCGTTCACAAAAGCTTCTGTTCATGTGCAAGTGCGCTCACGCTTGCGTGTTTGCGAGCAGACCTTGGTCGGTGTGCACGCTAACAGCACTCCAGTGGTCTATGAAAGGCTAGACTGGCGGTCGTGGCTATGCACGTGGCCTGTAATCCAGCACTCTGGACACAGCGAGGGTTGGTGGAACTCGCAAGTGTTGTGAAACCCCTTCCCGTGGGCGTCGAGGAGGTGTTAGACCTCGGCTCGCCAGGAGAAGCCGATACGGCTCCCATACTGGTAAGTACTAATTTAATTGGCTGAAAAAAATCTCGATACATAGAGGACTGCAGAGCCTGGGCAATCGTTTGTAGTACCTGCTGCAGCTGCTGCGGCCGCCTTCCCCGCTCGTCTGTGGTTCCCCGGCGGATGCGAGGTTGAGTGATTTTGCTGAAGGACGGCGCCGCGTGCGAACGCGATCCAACGCGATTGCGACCGCCACTGTTCACCACGCGGCCGCTGCGTGTGGTTGCGCCCGCAGACGGACCGGCTCAAGGCCGCCGCGTGCCTCTCGCTGCTGCGGCGCGTCGGCGTCGACGTCGACCTCTGGCTCGACGGCGCCATGACCAAAGCGACGGCCGAGCTGGAGAGCGAGCGGCGCGCGAGCGAGGCGCGGCGCAACAACGGGGAACTCTCGCCCACGGTGAGGAGGACAGCACTGTTCCTGCGTTCCCTCCTTCCTGCGTTCGCTCCTTCCTGCGTAACCTTCTTCCTGTGTTCTCGTGTTCTGAGGGGCGATTGCGAGGGGGATTTGCGTGCCAGCCTACTCGACGTTAGCAGTCAATTGACTCCACTCTGTGTTTTTAAATGTCAATGTTAAAGGCGCGTGTTCGGTACTCCCAAACCATCATTAATAGGTCAGCCAATTAGCGAACTCCGCGATTCGTTTTCTTTGACGTCCGTAGCCAATTACCACTTCTGGTCTTCCTCGGAGCGCCACGGTCTCTGGTGACGTCACTAAACGACCCCAGCCTGCATCTTCACTTTAGACTCTGATCTCATCACAGTCAGCCGCGCTGTAGTCTCTGGTGGGTAGATGATGATAATGATTGTGGTGGTGATGACGATGGTGTTGTGGTGGTGATGATGATGATTGTGGTGATGATGAGGCGTGATGTTCACTCACACCAGCGATGGCACACAGCAGGAGGAGGAGGGAGGGAGAGAAGGAGGGAGACACAGGGATGAGGAGGAGCAGGAGGGAGACATGGGGGGAGGAGCAGGAGGAGTGAGCGGGGTGCTGGATCCATTCTAATTACGTGGGGCCACTCACTGCTGCCCGGGGGAGGATGCGGCCCAAATGCCGAATCTCGGCTGGAATATGAATGAGGGTGGGGGGCCGCGTGACCCCGGTACAGCTGGGCCGGTGGGTGGGGGGGGGAGATCTGGGGACCGCACGGCGGTGAAGGTGAGCGTGCACGCAAGTGTGCGGGTGTGCTCCTGTGCGAGTGCTTGTCGCTCCACGTGCACGGTGGTTCTCGCGCGCTTAAGGCCGAGTCGACCCAGGCGGAGTCCCAAGACCTGTTCAGATATGATGCTGATGATGATGCTGCTGCTGCTGCTGCCGCCGTCGTTGCCGCCCACGGCCGCCCTGGGCTTCGTGCCGCGGTTGGAGGGCCGGGAATCTCAACGCGGCGCACCGTGGGCTTACCCGGCGGCAGGAGGGACGCAGTTGCCGGTCTCCTCGCGAGGGGGGAGCCTCCGAGTCCCCGTGCGAGTCTACGAGTCCCTGTGTGGCCACGGGAAATAGCCGTGAGCCTGGACTTGGGACGAGGAGGCAGGGGGGTGGGGAAGGGGAGTGGACGGGGGGGGGGGGGGTGTGTGCGGGCAGGGGAGGAGGAGGAGCAGCGACCTCCCGCTCGTCGTGGGGAGCCGCGTTCGATGGCTTGGCGTGGTGATGGTGACGGGAGGCCGAGGAGGAGGGGGGGTGGCTGGGGCCATCCCACGGAGACCCATAGACACACAAACTACTGTCCCTGATGCCCTCAATCGGAAGCCGCCATTGCCATTTGGCTGAAAAGAGGCGCGGTGTGCGCCCGATGAGAGTGTGCCCGGAACGCGAGAGCGTTAAATCAGTAGGAGGCCTCCTCCCCAGCAGCGACTTCACAATTGCAGCCTGTCCTCCCCTTGAGCACGCCGCCACTCATCCCACCCATCCCCACACTCGCGTGACACTGACTCGCCACCCCCACACACTACCCCCCCCAACCATCGGCTCTCGCCCACTGTCTGCTGACGTTAATTAATGGACGAGTGAGCGGCATAGCAAATGGCTTATCGTGCTCAGCAACTTCCTGCGTGACACGGAGTGGCTCTGCATCCCACGGCGTGGCACACAGTGGCTCGGCGTGGCTCGCCGTGGCTCGGCGTGGCTCGCCGTGGCACGGAGTGGCTCGGCGTGGCTCGCTGTGGCACGGAGTGGCTCGGCGTGGCTCGCCGTGGCACGGAGTGGCTCGGCGTGGCTCGGCGTGGCTCGCCGCGGCACGGAGTGGCTCGGCGTGGCTCGCCGCGGCACGGAGTGGCTCGGCGTGGCTCGCCGTGGCTCGGCGTGGCTCGCCGTGGCACGGAGTGGCTCGGCGTGGCTCGGCGTGGCTCGGCGTGGCTCGCCGTGGCTCGCCGTGGCTCGCCATGGCACGGAGTGGCTCGGCGTGGCACGGAGTGGCACGAAGTGGCACGCAGTGGCTCGGCGTGGCAGTGGCATATGACAAAGCAGGTCACCCAGGATGGGTTCTGATGCCATTCGCCACTGATGTTTGCCGTGGTTGGGAATCAAACTCAGATGGCCAGTTGCACAAGGTAGTGCGCCAACCATTGAACCACCAACTTCTACCACCCCGTGCTTTTATACATATATATAAAAGGCCCCCTCCCCCTTGGTTTCCGATCAGGGGGCACAGACGTCGCCCAAGCGGACGTCCACCGCCGACAACAAGATCGGCTCGTGGCCTTGGGGATGCCTTCTTCCAGCAGTGGATTGATCATAGCTGATAGTTAAGATAAAAAAATATATACACAACAATCGTCACCCCCACCCTCCCCCAACTGCGAAAACTTGGCAGGACCCTCTTGCTGGACGAGTCGCGAGACTCGGTGAGGCCTTGCTGGGCAAACAGGCATTGCGATGATCATGACCACGACGATAACAAAGTGAGAGGATGGTGCCGAGCGAAGCTGCTTCCTGCGCGCTTCCCCCATTAACGGGAGCCGCACTGCAGGCCCTCGCACTCGGCCACTCAATTATTGACGAGCGCTGCTGCTGCCGCCGCTGTTCTGCCAGACGTTGTGGGGAGGGGGTGGGCAGGGGGGGGGGTGCAGGGGGCTCAGCGGGTGGGGGGGGGGTCAACAGAAAAACCGAGCGATGGGAAGATGTGCGGGGGGCACGGGGGGCGGGGGGTGAGGTTGCCGTGGGCTGTGCGGCGGTGTGGGTAGTGCGTAGTGTGTGTGCGTGATGTGTTGTGCTGTTGTTGAGAGACAAAATTAGCAATTACTTTGAGCCATGTAATTTTTATGGCAATTACAAATGTAATGAAATTACTTATTTAAATTACGTGCAATTGAAATACTGTAAGGGCGGCGCAGTGGCTATGCCCAATTACTGACGAGTGCGTCTCTCGGTGTGCAGTTTGTGTGTTCTCCCCCCTGCTCTGCGTGCGGTTTTCTCCAGTTTCTCCGGTTTACTTCCACGGCTAATAATAATAATAATACAGTGTAACCGGTATTTGCCAAACGTCCCAATGCTGTGAAATTACTTGGAAATTACTAAATTTGGGATTGCATATGGGAGGCCACTCGGCCCGTCCAGCTGCTCGGTGGCCCTAGGAGGAACGAGGCGGGGGAGGAGGGAGGGTAATCATTGATGTTGGCCGTGATGTTTTCCAGCCATCGATCGCTTGGCTGGGTTTGAAGGTGGGAAGGAGAGAGGGTGGAGGTGATGCCAGTGGAGGAAGAGGCAGGAAGGGAGGGAGTCAGTGGGAGGAGGGGGATGGCGAGTTGGGGTTTGTGACGTCGCTTGGTCGCCGTGACGGCTCGAGCTGGCTCAGCCCCGAGGAGATCCTCCCCTCCCTCCCCTCCCTCCCCTCTCTCCCTCCCCTCCCTCCCCTCCCTTCCTCCCCTCCCTCCCTTCCTCCCCTCCACCCCCCTCCCTTCCCTCCCCTCCACCCCCCCACCTTCCTCCCCTCCCACCCGCACTCCCTCGGCACGGGCAGTTTGTGCGCTGACCTGATTATAATCCCGCTTCCTGCAGTGATGCGTGCATAAGGGTGTGCGTGCGCATCTATGTATCTGTTTGCATCTGGGTGTCCGAGTCTGTGTGCGTCTGCGTGTCTGTGTGTGTCTTCGTGTGACTGTGTGTGTTGGGAGCGGTGGTGTAGCGGTTATTGAGCTGCGCTACGAACCCCGCGACCCAAGTTTGATTCCCGCTAACGGCCACCAACACCGGTGACGATTATCTGAACCGGTCCTGGGCCTCTCCTAGGTCGACTCAGCCTCAAATTCAGTACCCGGTGTGCTGTGTAAACATCGCCACTCGGGAGACAACGGTGGCCGAGCGTGGTGCTGGCCACCTACCCCCTCGTGTGCCGTGCCAGTCTCCATAGGTGCTGCTTGCTAACAGCACTTACTCCTTCTGCCTGTTAAAGGCTATACGGGGGATCTTTGTATTGTGTCCATCTCTTGAGTCTGTAAATGTGCAAATTTTTTTAACACAGGTGCCAAACACAAGGACCCAAAGGGCCAAAACCACAAACGGTTAGCAACAAACAGCACTCATCACAGTTGTAATGGATTCGAGTGTAACGCATTACGTGAATCGGGCAAGAGCTTGGGAAAAGCGACATTGGGAGGGAATTCCAAATCCCGAATGTCTCCTCTCCCCTGCCTCTCTCCCCGTCTACAGCGTCTCAAGACCGCGGTTTCCACCGATATGTAATGTCCATACTTCACCGTGCCCATGTACTAATACCCCCTCGCCCCCTGCCCCTCCCCCACCAGGAGGAGCTGTCGCTGGGAGGATACTACGATGGCGAGGAGTTTGAGTCGGACACTCTGGATGAGAGTGGCTCCTCACCCTCGGGGACCTGGCGGCAGTACCCACAGACGTGCCGCGTCCTCTACTCCTACCAGGTGCGTTAAACACCCACGCACACACATACACTCACATACACACGCACACACATTCACACACATACACACATGCACATATACACACGCACACATACACACACACACGCTCACACATACACACACACACATACAACAACCGCCATTCACCACTAAGTGGCGGTGACGTCACCACGACGCTTGTGCCAGGCTATGTGCACCCTGAGGCCACGTGAAGTGTCGAACGCCCGCTGGCAGGAGGTCACGGGGCAGACCCAGGTGCCACGGGTCGACTGACTGAGATGACTGGCTGATGCACCACCTGTGCCCCCTACTGTGCCAACCTGCTGTGCTTTAGCCACCCGGCGCTCCGCTCGTTGTTGTGAGCGTCGCTCCTCCGCCCTCCGTTGTTGTTGGAGGGCGACTACCTCCAACTGCCCAGTAGCGTCCTTCACGAGCCTCCTCCACAGAGGCCGATCTTGACACCGCTGGTACCAGTCATCGGCAAGTCCACTCAGCTCCACGTCCTCCTGTACCACATCACTCCATCTCTTCTCTAGCCCGTGCCGCGCCCGTTTAGCCCCCTCAATCCGGCCGAACAAAAGCTGTTTCGGCATGCGGTGGCTGGGCATGCGGGCTACATGACCCAGCCATCGCAGCCTTGCCCGCCGGAGGAGCTCACCGATGGGACCTTGCCCAGATCTTTCAAGGATTTGTGAGCTCCTCACACAATCCAGTCTGGTTAAACCCAGGATGGATCGTAGACAGGCCAGCCTAAATGTTTCTAACCGGCGTAGATATTCCATTAGGGGGGTCCACGTTTCGCAAGCGTAGGGAAGGGAGGGAATGACCGTGGCCGAGAAGACCTGAAGCTTAGTGCGGAGCGACAGACCAGGTAGCTTCCACACAGCGTTACGCAACCGATGGAAAGATATTGCCGCTCGACTGATTCGGAGTGAGACCTCTGCTGTTAAACTGGAGCCGGTCATAAGCACACTGCCCAGGTATGGCAAACTCTCCACTCGCTCCACAACTGCCCCATCACCGATTGGGAGTTGTGGGGGTGGAGTGTCCGATGGTACAAAATACCCAGGCAGGTGCTTAGTTTTGGTGGGGCTGATGGTAAGGCCCCACCTCTTAGTGGCATGCTCCAGTCTCAGCAGCAGCGTCTCCAACTCCTCCTCTGAATGAGCAGCTATTACCAAATCTTCAATATACATAACGTGGTTGAGCAATAGGGAGCCATCCCTTGACCGCACCTGGGCATCGATCAGCCTCCCATTATATCTGTACCATATGGAGATTCCCCCGGTAAAGCTATTGAAGGCTTCACGAACCACGTGGTCAAAATAGATGTTAAATAATGTGGGAGCCAGAGGACATCCCTGTCGCACCCCAAGGTGTACAGGGAATGGCTCTGACTCCCGGCCACGTAGTTTTACCCGGGCCCGCTCACCATCATGAAGGTCCTTAATGATCGTGAGCAGAGGGTCAGGTACTCCAAAAGCACGAAGAACAACCAAGAGCCGAGGCCTACTGATGGTATCATAGGCCTTGACCAGGTCAATAAAGCAGAGATGTAGGTACACACATGCACATATACACAAGCATGCACACGCGTGCACACACATATACTCGAGCGCACGCACACATACACGAGCATGCACACACATATACACATATACGCGAACTCGGGCACACACTCACGTGCAGATGGAACAGGAGGAGCGCACGCTCTGTTGTACCGCTTTCTCCTGGCAACCCAGGGTATGGAGTTTCGCAACATGTGTGCGGTGATCCACCAACCCTTGCTGCTTCGTCCACAGCGATGGAGGATTACAGGCAGCCACGTGCAGCAGCGTAGCCACCGTCGCACGGCGGACCAGCAGAATAAAATAAATAATATGCGTGTATGTGCGCGCGTGTACGCGAGTGTGTGTGCGCGCGCGTGTGCGCGTGTGTGCGTGTGTTATTTATTTCTGTGCTGACCCTCTGCTTGCTCGGGCAGCGCCGAGTCGTAAATCCGGGTACCACAGCCGCTGGGCGCGCATCGCTTGAGTGGCCGCACTCGGCCTGGCGCGCTACGAAGCGGTGGCACCGCCGTGCCAGCACGCTGCGCGGCGGACGCCGAGACCCGAGTTCGATTCCCTCTCACGACCAATAACGGCGGGAAATATTTAAATCTGTCGTGGGCCTCCACGACGTCGACTCGGCCTCATGAGTAACTGGTGCGGTTACTCATGAGGTGTGTGCTGTGGCGGCCTTCAACGGCGCTCGCTAACAGCACTTGCCCCAACAGCCTGTTAAAGGGTATACTGGGAATCTTTGTCTTTGTGTGTATTTGCGGAGTTGTATGTGTTCGTGTGTTTATTTGTCCTCGTGTGTACACGTGTGTTTGCGTACGTGTGCATTTGTGTGTACAGAACGTGCGTGCGTGTGTAAGTACGTGCGTGCGTGCGACTGGAGGAGCATTTACTGGAATGAAAGAAATGGGAGTGGCAATGAGAAATAGAGAGGCAAGAACAATAAGAGAGAGGGAGGGAGAGTTAAAGGCAAGCTCTGATAGTTGACGGTGGAGGAGCTGTGGTGCTGCCATATTTAACCTCTCTGTATCAACCCGATTGAAACATCTGGTGTGAAATAAGCTGCTGATGTACCAAGACGGGGCGAGAGAGAGACCAGGAGAGCCAGAGAGCACGACAGGGCACAGGGCGAGAGAAAGAGTTAAAGAGGAGAAAGCGAGAGTGGGAGGGAGAGAGAGAAGCAGGGAGAGAGAGCGAGGCCCGGGTCTCGGCAGGACGCTGTCTGCATGGGGAAATAAATCCTGGGCCTGCGCCCGATGGGCCCGGACGTCTGGCAGCGCGAGCTGCACTGCCAGGCCGGAGCTGGCGCCAGCGGCAGCCGCGCCATGCCGCCCCGCTCCTCGTTATTTATGCCACCCGGTGGGGTTATGTGTGGTGTGTGTGTGGTGTGTATGTGGTGTGTGTGTGGTGTGTGTGGTTTGGTGTGTGCGGCGTGTGTGTGATGCGTGTGTGGTTTGGTGTGGTGTGTGGTGTGTGTGTGTGGTTTGGTGTGTGTGTGGTGCGTGTGTGGTGCGTGTGTGGTGTGTGTGTGGTGGGTGCCAGCGTGTGTTGCAATCTGTGTTGTTTGTGATGGGCGTACGATGGGTGCGGTGTGCGTGGGGGTAGAGAGGATACACGGCGCAGGTGTAGTATGTGGGGTGTGTGTGGTGTGGGTGTAGGGTGAGGGTGTGGTGGGGATGAGGCTGTTGTGGGTGGTATGTGCCTGGCAGTGTTTGTTGGGCCATAGAGTGGGTATGGTGAGCGTACGTTGTGGATGAGTGTGTTTGTCGAGGCGGGAGTGTGTCAGGGTTAGGATTGTGTCAGGGCTGGAATGTGTCAGGGCTGGAGTGTGTCAGGGTTAGGAGTGTGTCTGGGTTGGAGTGTGTCTGGGCTGGAGTGTGTCTGGGCTGGAGTGTGTCAGGGTTAGGAGTGTGTCAGGGTTGGAGTGTGTCAGGGTTAGGAGTGTGTCTGGGTTGGAGTGTGTCTGGGCTGGAGTGTGTCTGGGCTGGAGTGTGTCAGGGTTAGGAGTGTGTCAGGGCTGGAGTGTGTCTGGGCTGGAGTGTGTCTGGGTTAGGAGTGTGTCTGGGTTAGGAGTGTGTCAGGGCTGGAGTGTGTCTGGGCTGGAGTGTGTCAGGGTTAGGAGTGTGTCAGGGCTGGAGTGTGTCAGGGCTGGAGTGTGTCTGGGCTGGAGTGTGTCAGGGTTAGGAGTGTGTCAGGGCTGGAGTGTGTCAGGGTTAGGAGTGTGTCAGGGCTGGAGTGTGTCTGGGCTGGAGTGTGTCAGGGTTAGGAGTGTGTCAGGGTTAGGAGTGTGTCTGGGCTGGAGTGTGTCAGGGTTAGGAGTGTGTCTGGGCTGGAGTGTGTCTGGGCTGGAGTGTGTCTGGGCGGGAGTGTGTCAGGGTTAGGAGTGTGTCTGGGCTAGAGTGTGTCAGGGTTAGGAGTGTGTCAGGGTTAGAAGTGTGTCAGGGCTGGAGTGTGTCTGGGCTGGAGTGTGTCAGGGCTGGAGTGTGTCTGCGCTGGAGTGTGTCTGGGCTGGAGTGTGTCTGGGCTGGAGTGTGTCAGGGTTAGGAGTGTGTCTGGGCTGGAGTGTGTCAGGGCTGGAGTGTGTCTGGGCTGGAGTGTGTCTGGGCTGGAGTGTGTCAGGGTTAGGAGTGTGTCTGGGCGGGAGTGTGTCAGGGCTGGAGTGTGTCAGGGCTGGAGTGTGTCTGGGCGGGAGTGTGTCAGGGCTGGAGTGTGTCTGGGCTGGAGTGTGTCAGGGTTAGGAGTGTGTCTGGGCTGGAGTGTGTCAGGGTTAGGAGTGTGTCTGGACGGGAGTGTGTCTGGGCGGGAGTGTGTCTGGGCTGGAGTGTGTCTGGACGGGAGTGTGTCTGGGCTGGAGTGTGTCTGGGCGGGAGTGTGTCAGGACTGGAGTGTGTCTGGGCGGGAGTGTGTCTGGGCTGGAGTGTGTCTGGACTGGAGTGTGTCTGGGCGGGAGTGTGCCAGTAGCTCATTAGCTGGCGGTTGTCAGAAGGGATGAGCAACAGGGATGCGCATCCCCGTGCATCGTCGCACGCGCGCAGCCCACAACAGAAGCCCCCACACGCATACACGCTCACATTCACGAAGCAATAACGTCGAGCGTTCGCCACTTAGTAGCCATGATTTCACCACGGCGCGTGTGCCAGGCTAGGTGCACCCTGAGGTCACTTGAAGTGTCGAAAGCTAGCTCCCAGGAGATCACAGAACGGACCCGGGTGCCGTGGGTCGACTGACTGAGATGACCACCAGCTGTGCTGCCCACTGTGCCACCTCGCTGCGTTTTAGCCGCCCGGCGCTCCGCTCGTTGTTGTGAGCGTCGCTCCCCTGCCCTCCGTTGTTGCTGCAGGGCTACTGTGTTCGTGCGTAGCGACTGCGTACGTGTGCTTCCGTGTAGGTAGGCTTCATGGGGTGCTTTTGTCTTTGTCTGTGCAGGCGAACATGCCGGATGAGTTGACGATTGACAAGGATGAGATGCTGGAGATCATCGAGGACGGGGACATGGAGGACTGGGTCAAGGTGAGGACATCCCACGATCCACGTGTCCTGTGGCCCGGACGTTCTGCCATCTGTGCGAGCTGAATATCAAATCCCCTACACATTGTAGCTGGCATTGGCCAAACATCCCAATGCTGACAAATAACCTGCAAATCACTCCACTGGGATTTCACGCAGCAGCAGCAGCAGCAGCGTCACCCCGCACCACCCCAAAAACTTGACAGGACCCTCCTGAAAAAGAGGCTTGAGGTTCACCGAGACTTCCTGAACATGTCACATGATCTACCTGTCGCATGTTCGCCTATCCTTACATCACATCATCCCACATCACATCATCAGGGTGACGCCACCACCACACTTGAGCTCATTGCCCTTTGTCCTGTGTGGTGTGTGTGGATGTTAACGTGTGGTGTGTGTGTGGTGTTCTATGTGCGGTGTGTGTGTGGTGTGTATGGTGTTCTATGTGCGGTGTGTGTGTGGTGCGTATGGTGTGCTATGTGCGGTGTGTGTGTGGTGCGTATGGTGTTCTATGTGCGGTGTGTGTGTGGTGCATATGGTGTGCTATGTGCGGTGTGTGTGTGGTGCGTATGGTGTGCTGTGTGCGGTGTTCTACGTGCGGTGTGTGTGTGGATGTTATGTGTGGTGTGTGTGTGGTGTTCTACGTGCGGTGTGTGTGTGGTGCGTATGGTGTGCTATGTGCGGTGTGTGTGTTGTGTGTATGGTGTGCTATGTGCGGTGTGTGTGTGGTGCGTATGGTGTGCTATGTGCGGTGTGTGTGTTGTGTGTGTGGTGTTCTACGTGCGGTGTGTGTAGTGTGTATGGTGTGCTATGTGCGGTGTGTGTGTTGTGTTTATGGTGTGCTATATATGGGGTGCGCGTGGTGTCTGTGTGAGCGCAGGGCCGGAACGCGGCGGGCAAAGTTGGCTACGTGCCGGAGAAATACCTCCAGCCGCTGGAGCCCGGCGGGGGGGGCGGGGGGCCCGGGGGGGGGTTCGGGGGTGGCGGCGGGACCGGCGGTCTGCGTGGCAGCACGTCGGCGGACGTCATCTCCTACACGTCGGGCAACTCCATCGAGCCCGAGCTGCCCACCGAAGCCTCGCTCGGGGGTGAGCGACCGTACTTGGACACCGGTCCCCCCCCCACCCCCTCCACCCCGACTGCCTCCCCCCCCCTCGATAGCCTGAGCGTTGTAGAGAGCCAAGTCGATCGCTTGTGCTCGTCCTGGGACCCCCTTCACCGTCCATCCCGTCCTCGTCACTCGACCTCTCACCGGGCTTCAACCAAATGAACTTCGCAAATATTAAACTTCACTCCTTCCTGAAGGTCGACTAGACAAAAGACAGCGATCCACCCCCGATAGCCTGAACACACTGCAGGTGCTGTTGGCGAGCACCTGCCCAGGCTAGCGTGGCGTGGTGTGGTCAGCACCACGCACGGCCGCCTTTGTCTCCCCAGTGCTGATGCCTCATACGCACTGCTTCAGGTACTAATGTCAAGGCAAAGTGGACCTCAGGTGTTAAGCCGGGGACCAGGTTCGGAGATATTCGTCACCGATGTCGGCCGTGAGCGGGAATCGAACTCGGCTCGGCGGGGTTGGTAGCGCAGCTCATCGAGCGCGACCCTGCCGCTTCCCCGTGCGTACAACGCACGCGCAGAAATGCGCACACGCAAGCCATTCGCTGGAGCGGGAGGGAGGACACTCCTGGACTTTGGAGAATTTCAAGAGCACGGAGATGTAGGCGTAGCTGGCAGAGGGAGCCAAGGGGAGGGAGGAATTTCTGGAGGGCGAGGGGACAGGTTAGCACGGTTGGCTACGTACTGTGGGAAAGAAGTTCAACAAACAAACGTACATACAGAGGGGACTGCATGAGCGAGCAGTTGACTGTGCTCAGCACCACGGAGAGCGCCCAGGCCCTGCTGCTGCTGCAGTGGCGGCTATTGATCTGTGGGCAGCCGTGGCGGAGATCGCAGCCACGGCCAGAGACGCATTGACGCACTAAGTGGGGCGCATGTACGTACGTGCGCATGCATGCGTGCGTACGTGGCGACGCGTGATGTCGCTTCGCTAATGCAGCTCCCGAGCGCCGAGGCACATTCCCCGCAGAGAACCACGCTTCTCTGCTTGTCCGCTTCCCCCCGCCACCCCGCCCTTACTCCCTCCGCAGTGGTGCGCACTGATGCGTGTGTGAGAGTGCATGCGAGCGTGTGCGTACGAGCGCGTGCGTGTAGGAGCGTGGAGAGTGAGTGTGTGTGGAGGGTGTGGAGTGTACGTGTGGAGGGTGTGTGTGTGTGGAGAGTGTGTGGAGTATGAGTGTGTGTGGGGAACAGTAGTGTCGTGGACAGCGCGTGACAATGATCTGAACCGGTCCTGGGCTTACCCGACTCAGCTTCAAATCAGTATCTGGAGCAATACGTAAACATCGCCACTCGAGAGTCAAAGGCAGCTGGGCGTGGTGCTGGCCACACTTCCCCCTCCTGGAGTGCCATGCCGGCCGTCATAGCCACTCGCTAGCAGCACTTAGCCAAACAGCCTGTTTGAGGCTACGCGGGGGACCTTTGTTATTGTCACGTGCACGTAAAGCCCCTCGGCTGCGATCGCCGTGGCGCTGCTCCGCTTGTCGCCCCCACCTTCCCTTCCGCTCGGCGGTTTGGGGGGTGGGGGGCTGCGCTCTTCGTGTATTGCCGACTCGCTGTTTAATCCGCCGCCGGGCTGAGCCGCGTGCATTGTGCTGGGCGGCGTGGGGATTTGCAACCAATGAAGTATTTAGCGCTCTTTAAATATTTACGACGTCGCTTTGTTGCGAGGACTTTCCGAGTCTTACGGACGCAGAGAGACGCGGGGGGGGGGGGGGGGGGGGGGGGGGGCCGGTGCGGGGGTGATGGATTGGTGGGAGGAGGAGTGGAGACTGGGGGGAAACAGAAGAGGTCTCCTTGCCTGTCCCCCCCCCCACCCCATTGGGAGTTTGAATTTCGGTCAAAACTGAAAACGCCGTCGCCGTGCTCCGGTGGATGCCACCGATGGAGCCCGCCGCCGCGCCGGCTATTTTTTATTCTCAGCCGGCGAGGCACGGTGCTGACCGCACCGCCTGCTTAGAGGGCAGCTGTTCCACGCAGAGCAGTTGCGCTGATGGACGATCCCGCGATTCGACGCCAATCGCTCTCTCGCCGTCGCCGTTCAGCCAGCTCCTTGTGGCTCTCTTACAGCTACTGCCACGGTCATTGTTCGTGCGCGCTTCTTCACACTTCGGTACCTCTCCCCCGAGTCGAATACGTCGCGTGTAGTGACGCCATCAAAGGGGCGGCCCTTTGACCCTGTCATCATGGGCACAGTTTAATTCGTATGGGGTCATCGTGACCCCCACGTTACGCACGGACGGACGGACACAGCCGCCGCATCAATGCGGTCTAAACTCGCGGGCGCGAGCGCAACGGCGGCGCCACCGCTCCCCCTCCCAGGTGCCTGCCCCTCCCCCTCCCGCCGCAGCCCCCTCGTCGGCCGAGCGGCGAGCCGTGACCCCCGCCCGTCTGCGCGCGACCCCCCCTCCCGCAGTGTGGCTGGCACGGGCGCTGTACGACTACGAGGCACAGACGGAGGACGAGCTCTCTTTCCCCGAGGGTGCCATCATCCGCATCCTGCACCGCGGCGGAGCCGACGAAGAGGTGGAGGAGGGCGACGTGGACGACGGCTTCTGGAAGGGCGAGCTCAACGGCCGTGTCGGCCTCTTCCCCTCGCTCGTTGTCGAGGAGATGAACTCCGGCGCCGGCGCCGAGGGCAGCAGCGGGGGCAGCAGGAGCCCCGACGAGGAGCGCCGGCCGTCCCCGCTGGTGCGTGCTGCCCCCCCCCCCCCCCGCCCCCTTCCTGTCACTGCGGGCCCAGCGCCGTCGTACCGGTCGGGTACCAGTGGGGAATTGTTGAACCTGCCAATGACGACCACTGTGTGTGTGTGTGTTTGCGCGTATCCCGTAGTCGCCCGCCGCCGGCCTGTCCCGCTTGTTGAGGCCGGTTTCATTGGCGCACAGCGGCCCCCCGAGCCCCGAGGTGCTCCGGCCGACCCGGCCTCCGCGGCCAGCCTCCGCCATCATCGGTGAGGGCCGCTGTAGCAACAGCAGCTGCAGCAGCGCACGAATCGTGCGGTGCACCCAACACGCTGATCTTGCAGCAGGCCAATTGCACACCGCATGCACCATTTGGGGTCTCCACGGATCCAAACATATTATTCCCTTGATGTATTGGTCTCTGTTATATGAATGTCGAGATTGCAACACTGGCTCCGAGTCATAATGCGTCTTTGTGGACTGAGACGCTATGGCTTTGACTGGACGTTTGAAGAACACGGTGATGATGATGGTGGTGGGTTTGTTAGTGACGAAGGCAGAGCTGACGATGACGACGATGATGACGACGACGATGGCTGTTGTTAGTGAACCCCGCCCCGACAGCTCCGAGTGCGTGGGGTTTGAGGCTCACGCGCTCCGAGCACCTCATCGTCGCTTTCATTGCCCCCGCGGAGCCCCCCCCCTGCTCCTCGTGAACCGCCACCCCCACCCCGTGCCAGCGTCTGAGATGTGTAGAGAGAGACAGGGTGCTGGGAGAGAGAGAGAGAGATGAGGGAGAGAGGCAGATGGGGATACAGAGATGGGGAAGGTGAGAGATGTAATACAAGGGGAGAAGGAGCTTGGAGGGAGATGAGGGGAGTGATGGAGAGTCAGGTGAGGGGGGGGCGGGGGTCACCCGCAACGTCGTTTTGTCGTTTCCCCGACGTCGCTATCGGCGGCTCGCCGTGAGACCTCTCGCGCAACTCTCGCAGAGCAGCGCAACGGCCCACGGAAGCGGATATTACAGAGCTAGCTCGGGTGGAGGAGAGGCTTGGAGTTGAATGGAGAAAGGGAGAGAGGAGGGAGGGAGGGAGGAGGGGAAGGATGGGAGGGGTAAGGAGGGGGGTGGGGTTGTGGGGGCCCACGAGGCGAGCGTCGCTTGAGAGAGGGCGGAGGCGGTGACATTTGTCTGGATTTCATTTCCCGTTGCTCGCCGTGGCGATGAGCGCCGCGTCTGGCACGAGAGACGGTACGAGCAGGCGTCTCCCCCCCCGCGCTTGCGCTGGAGGAGAGTCGCGCGCCGGCTCAGATTTGTTTCAGCGGCGTTTTTCGTCACGAACGCCACGACTCGCCTCGGAGCAAATATAAAAAAATACGTTCGCTCGTCGCTTAATAATGTGAACCAAGCACGAGACGGCAATTACGCACTCGCTCAGATGCGATTTTTCCGCTTGCATTCAATTTGACGTGAAACCGAACGCGTTTTTTTACTTAAATCTATTTATTGTTTGGCGATGCGATTGGTTTCGTAAAGTTGCCGGCGTGCTGCCTGCGACAACCGTCGGGCGATTGTTGATGTCACGGTGACTCCAGGGTAGACGATGCCCGCTAAACGCGCCCACTATGCCACCGACGTCGCTGGCACATCGCACTTACGTACATGTGGTGGGAACCGTTGGCCCAACGTTGGCTGAAGTTCAACGATGACTGGGCGTCTCTGCTCCGTTCGCCGCACGCTCTCCAATCCAGTTAGGGTGACGGCCTCACGGAGACAAATTGCCCTGGTACCATCCTGTCTTCACGTCTGCCACGGATGTGGAATTTCTTTCCACTGGCTCTGAGCCACTTCTGGAGGTGAATCGCTCCCTCTGTTTATTAGAACAAGGGAGGCTGTGACACGACTCTTGCACTAGTGAACTCCAGTTCGATTCCGGGCCACGGCTAACATCAGTGGCAAGTGATATCCACAGCGGTCCTGGGCCCCATGCTTCACCAACCCCCCCACCCGCACCAACCAGCATGATGAAGTATAGTCAAACAACCCCCACGAGCAATACGGCATGGGGAAGTCTTCATTGAGCAGTGGATGAACTATAGAGCCGTACATACAGGGGGGTGACCCGGGGCTCGAACGCTGACTCTTGGAGGATCTGGCGCAATATTCCGGGAGATGGGCAGACTCCACAGACTCCGCAGACTCCGCAGACTCCGCAGACTCCGCAGACTCTGCAGACTCTGCAGACTCTGCAGACTCCGCAGACTCCGCAGACTCTGCAGACTCTGCAGACTCCGCAGACTCCGCAGACTCCAGCGTGCATCTCGTCCGTGTGTGTGGGCGGCTCTCTATGTCCACACGCCCCATCGTGGAGTTGCCTCGCCACCCACAGCGTCGCGAGATTTTTAAATTGACTCAAACTTATTATCGATTCCATTTCCTCCCCTCCCCTTCCTCCTCCCTCCCCTTCCTCCTCCCCCTCCTGTTGTTTGCTGTTGTTGTTATTGCTATTTGGTACCTTCGTCATTGAGTGCAATTCTAATGAGATCTCGCCGGGGCTGGAGCCAGGCCGGCGCTATTGGAAGCTCATTAACGAGATGCTGCCTGCTGATTAATCACGTCCCCTGGGTAACCCCCCACCGACAATTCACCGCCCCCTCCTCGGATGGTCTAAGATGCGACCGACGTTGCGTGCTCCGAGCGCGAGTCTCCTCCGCACGCAACACCTCCATGCCTGGCGTGCCGGGAGCAGGCTCAAGGAATCCGCGCCCGCATCCCCACACCCCTCCATGGAACTGCAGTGGCCCCCCTACAGCCCACGGTCCCCCTCCTCCGCCATCCCCCCCATTCGGAGGCAGCTTCTCGGGTTAGCCAAGCAGAGGCGTTCGTGTTCAAGTTTTGAAGAAATATCAAAAACTTGGTGGTGATGACCTCCACCCCCCCCCCCCCCCCCTCCGTGGAGGTGATCACAGGGAGGCCCTGCACCGGTTTAGATATTCATCCCTGGTGTTGGCCGTGAGGAATGGGATCGAACTCGGGTTTGTCCGAGTTCGTAGCGCATGGCACCTACGACAGCCCCACCGCTCGCTCCCCCACCCTAACCACATCCTCAACCGCCAGCACCGCCACCGCTACCATCGAGATGGCTGCGCCAAACGCAGTGGATGTTGACAGTGGTGAGCAGGCACGGTGGCAACGACACTCACCCCGTCGCTCACCGTGCCTTGTACCGCATTCTCCACGTTGTATGACCATGCAAATTGCGATTTTATGGATATTGACCGGAGAAACACATTTCAGTTGTTATTCATATAGGGGGCGCCCCCCCCCCACTCCGAGGAACTTTCCCCAAATCGAACCTCGCTACGAACTCGGACATCTGGGTTCAATTCCCGCTCGGGACCAATATCGGTGAGGAATATCTGAATCGGTCCTGGGCCCTGCCCTAGGTCGACGCAGCCTTAAATATTGCAGTGTGCACATTGCCACTGTGTGACGGTGATGTGAAATGTGGGCAGGTGTTGAAGCTACGCGGGGGATCTTTGTCTTTGTTGTGTGCATCTCAGCTGGATCGAGCGGATGTGCCAACGGAGACATAGGAGGCGCGTTTCGGCTCCCGCCCGTACAGAGACCCTCCCTGCGGCCGGTACGATGCACCTGCCGCCCTGCGTGAACCTGCACGCACGCACGCACGTACAAAGACTTACACACACACACGTACGCATGCATGGATGTACACATGGTGTTGACCACAACGATGATGACCATGAAGACCATGGTGACCATGATGACCATATTTTGTCCCGCAGGTCAGGGCAGCTCCCCCGCCCCCAACAAAGAAGGCCGCCGCCCTGCAGGATGAAGGCTTAGAGGTCACGCTGGTGTGACCTCGCCGACCCCATTTCGGGGTCAAAGTGTCAATCGTCCTTGCTCTCCCCCCCTCGCCCGCTGGCCGGGAGAAGTGTCCCACGCAGGGGTCCCGCTGGGGGGGCCCCAGAGCCCCCCTGCCCCGCCCTCCAATCTTCCTGTGGTTACCCGGGTCGGTGGGGAGGGGGTTACCCCCACCCCGAGCCGTGTGGATGAACTCCCCACCGGCGGGACGCTCGAGCCGCCCAAGAAGCCCGTAGTCGCGGTCCGCCCCTCTGCGCGGCCTCTCGCTGAGGCTTTGTTGTCTGTGCTCTCATAGCAAGTGTAATATATTGTTACTATAATAATAATTAATGTTATATCATTACTGTTATCGGTGCATCGGTGGCTCATACCTAGCCCCCCTCTCCACCCACAAATTCTGCCAACTGCCAAAGTGGGGGGGAGGGGGACACCCAGGGGCAGCCCCCCCGCCTCCGCCACAAGCCAAGCTGTGCTTCCCCCATCTCGCCCCCCCCTCCACCTCCCCCCGACCCTCAGCTCCCCTGCCAGCCTCTGCCACCGTAAAAAAATATATCGTGGCATTTGAGGCCGGTGGGAAGTGGCATTTAGAGCGAGCAGGTGGCACGGCAGATCTGAGTGGTGGCTCGAACTCGGCTCTCGCGGCCTTGGCCACTCGCCAGTGATCAGCCCTCCCCCCCCCCGCCCAAGCAAGCCCCCCGCTTCCCTCTTCATCCTCCTCGTCCTCTCTCCCCTACTAATTCCACATCCTCTTCCTCCCCCCTCCTCAATTCATAACCGAAGGAAATTGGGACCATGGGGGGGGGATATGGGTAACCCCAAATGAACAGACAAAGATCGCCTATATAGGCTTCAACAAACTGGCTGGGCATGTGCTGTTGGCGAACACCTTTTAAGGACAAAGAGACGCACAAAGGGTTTGGGGGAGGTGGCCAGCACCACGCCCGGCCGCCTTTATGTCCACCAGTGCCGATGTTTACACACCGCACCAGCTAATCATTTAAGGCCGAGTCGACTTTGGGGAGGCCCTGCACTGGTTTAGATATTCATCCCTGGTGTTGGCCGTGAGCAATGGGATCGAACTCGGGTTTGTCCGAGTTCGTAGCGCATGGCACCTACGACAGCCCCACCGCTCGCTCCCCCACCCTAACCACATCCTCAACCGCCAGCACCGCCACCGCTACCATCGAGATGGCTGCGCCAAACGCAGTGGGTGTTGACAGTGGTGAGCAGGCATGGTGCGACGACACTCACCACATGGCTCTCCGTGCCTTGCACCGCGTTCTCCGCATTGCACGACAACCTCGCCCCATCGTCTCTGGATTTTCAAGCAAACGTTGGGGGTCCGTCTTGTAACCCGGTGGGCGTGGGGCGTGTGTGTGTAGGTGCTCGCTTACAGCACTGATGTGTCTCTGTGTGGGTGTGGGGAGCGGTGGCACAGAGGTTGGCACACTCGCCCTACGAACCCGGCGACCACCGGTTGTGTTCCTCCTCACGGTTTAATTTTGACGAATATCTCCAAAGGGTCTTGAGCACTCCCCTAGGTCGACTCCGTTGTACCGGGAAGACAAAGGCTGCCGGGCATGCGTGGTGCTGGCCACCCCCACCTCCGTCGTGTGCTCTGGAGGCTCTCCAAGGGTGCTCCCTAACAGCACTTGCCCCAACACCCTGACAGAGACTATATGGGGAATCTTTGTCTGTAGCCAAATGTGTGTGGCTGTTGACACAGGTTCGGGATGCGCTTCTCTGGAGCGTCTTGCAATCCGTGGAATACGGCAATAGGACAATAGTCATAACCATTTAGAGGTCGCATTAGTCCACTGCTGGATGGAGGCTTCCCCACACCGCTCGGGTCAATCATCGGGGTGGTTTTACCTTCACCACGCTAGTCCGTGCGAGTTTGATGAAAGGGGTCGGCCAACCCTGAATCTATTTTCCAGCATCCGGCACACCACGTCCTCTGTGCGTCTCGCTTTGTGGCTACTGCGAGCCACGTACCGCAGTACCAGCGGCCTGGGGAATCTTCAGTGAGACGATGTAGGCGACGTTCCTTCTTCAGGGCCATGAAGAGAAGGGTCCTCGTCCGAAACGTCGGTTTCGCTGCCGTCTATATTGTCAATTGTGTGGGACGATAGCCAGCTGTCAATGCGTGCGACCGGAGTGTGGCAGTCAAAAGAAGACGCGCCCCCCCCCCCCCCCCCCGTGGAGATGGAGCGATGAGGTCGGCTCGCGGGTGGGGATCGGAGCACGTAGACGGCTTGTGGGGGGCCTTTGTCCAGCAGCGGAGAGACCATGGCGGCGCGATGACGATGGAAGCCGCGGTGGTGAACGCGGTGCCGTGAGGCCTCTTTGTTTGGCGCCTCCCCAGCCCTCCTTCGCCCCCCCCCCCCCCCCCCCCCCCGCGATTCAGCACCTCGTCGATGCGCCATCACTTGTGTTGCCGTTGCAATGTCGCGGCCTCCAGTGGCTGGAGGCGCCGTGAACGAACTCGATTCACAGACGCCCTCGTGGATTGAAGCGAATCGATCGTTGCCGCCGACTCGATGCGCGAATCGTGCCCTCCGTAGACGATATTCATCGATGTTAATCGGCGGATTGCGTGACGCGAAGTGGGGGGCGGGGGGGGGGATCTCACGACCCCTTAACCCCGCGGGCCAAAGCCGACCCGAGACTTCGGTTCACACACGATGCCGCCTCGTACCGCTTCCAAAACGGTGGCCCGAATTCTTATATTTGGCCTTCGCTGCAAGTGTCCTAGCCGCACTCATCGGGTGCCGGGCGGGGAATATTCCCGACCTAGCGACAATTTAAGATGTGCAAGTGACCCGAGATGTGTGTCTGTGTGTGTGTCTCTGTGTGTGTCTCTGGGTGTGTCTGTGTTAACTTGCTGTGTGTGTCTGTGTGTGTGTCTCTGTGTGTGTGTCTCTGTGTGTGTCTCTGTGTGTGTGTCTGGGTGTGTCTGTGTGTATGTCTGGGTGTCTGGGTGTGGAGTGGCGGCGCACTGGTTAGCGTGCTGCGCTGCGAACCTGGCGATCCGAGTTCAATTCCCGTTCGTGGCCAACATCGGTGACGATTAACTGAACCGGTCCTGGGGTCTCCTCTAGGTAGACTCAGTCTTTAAGTGAGTACCTGGTGAGGTGAACATCAGCACTAGGGAGACAAATGCGGCGGGATGTGGTGCTGGCCACCCACCCCCTCCAGCCATCATGGGTGCTTGCTAACAGCACTTGTCCCAACAGTCTGTTAAGGCTTTGTGGGGTGGTGGGGGTCTTTGTATATCTGTGCGTTAAAACTTTTGGTGATGCTGCTGCTTCTGTGTTGGCAGTGGTGCACACAGCAAGTTAACAATGGACACGCTCATTAACGCTGTGCTTGGCCTTTAAAGAAAACATCATCATAGGTGACGTTTCGTGCAATGACCAGCAGTTGTATAAAAAAGGGCCGTAAACTGAAACGTCGCCTGTGATATATGTTGTTCCTTGTTATGCCGTGGTGTTATGAACGAATGTTGAGTGGTGGTGGTGGTGACCTGCCCAAAGTGTGCGATCATTGCCACTGGGCCTTCAGTGCAGTCAACGTTCATCACCGTGTCCGTGTTTGTGCTGTCCAGCAGCTTTCCGGCTGTGTTTTTGGGTTGTACTCGTGTGTCCTTCGGCATCAATGTCCGACGTTTCGCTCCGGTTCCTGAAGAAGCTGCCACCACCGCCGTGGACCGAAACATCGGACAATCATACCAGACAACACGCGGGTTCAACCAGTGAGGACACCGAAGCATGATCAATAACGGGAACCCTGCCCGCTGGTGAAACTTGCTCACGCACAGCTCCTGCACTCCATCTCCTCCTCCCTGGCTCCTGTGGGGTGATGGTGGGGGGGGGGGGTGTGGTTAATTTGAAGCTGACCCAGCAGCCAAGAGGACGAGTAACGGTTCGAGTCCCGTCCTTTCGATTTCTGATTCCATAAGCTCCGTGACGGTTGTGGTTGCGCTAAAAGGCAAATAAATTGTAAATTTATCTTCACAGCGTCGAACACGCGTCCACTCGCATCGCGTTCATGGGGAATCCGCCCAGCATCCCTCCGAGGGTGATGCAAATGAATAGCACCTCGTGGGGAAGTCAACAGTGGTTGTGATAGTCATAGGAACGTGGAATTTCATCCGCTGGCTGAGGGTTGTGATCCGGGAGATGAGCAAATCCGCGGCCCATGCTGCCCCCGCTTCCACCGTTCCACACCGACGAAGCGTGGTGAAGTTCGGTCAAACGGCCCTCGCGACATGCACAGCAGGGGGCGGCCCTCATCCAGCAGTGGTGGATTGACGAAAGGGCTGCTCCGTGCTGATGAGAGCCAGGTGTGGGGAAGAGGAACACGGATCGGAGAACGGACGCAGCAGGTTAATGACGCCATTGAAACTCACGAAGATTGAGCGGGGCTTGGGCAGGGCGCATCGTTGCTAGCAGGGAGGATGGGTGGTGATGGGTGGTGGTGGGTGATGATGGGTGATGGTGGGTGATGGTGGGTGATGGTGGGTGATGAGCGATGGTGGGCGATGGTGGGCGATGATGGGTGATGGTGGGTGATGGTGGGTGATGATGGTTGATGATGGGTGATGGTGGGTGATGGTGGGTGATGGTGGTTGATGGTGGGTGATGGTGGGTGATGGTGGGTGATGATGTGTGATAATGGGTGATGGTGGGTGATGGTGGGTGATGGTGGGTGATGATGTGTGATGGTGGGTGATGGTGGGTGATGGTGGGTGATTATGGTTGATGGGTGATGATGGGTGATGGTGGGTGATGATTGGTAATGATGGGTAATGATGGGTGATGATGGGTAATGATGGGTGATGATGGGTGATGGTCGAGGCTGACGATGGAGTGGCCGCCAAAGGGGCGGGGGAAACGCGTCCGGGAAACGCGTCTGAGAGTTCGTCCACCGATGAGACGGAGCGATGGAATCAGTTTTCGCGCGCAAGTGCTTGATGGATCCCTTGCATTGCGAGACTGTGAGAGATGGCGACGACTTGGGGAGGCGTTCACCCAGCGGTGGATAGACTGGCTGAAGATGATATGAAGAAAACCCGTTACAATTGTGACAAATTGCAATAAAATTCCTGTACACATCTAATATCGTCAGCCGCGATCGATCCATTGCTGGGTGAAGGCATGGATGATTGTTTTGACATGGATGATTGACGTAATTATTTGAATCATTTATGATGAGAGATGACAGCGCAACGCGGATTGAAGTGACATGGCAAGCGGTGGGAGCATCGATTACAGCAAAACTGTTGAACGATTATTGCAAAATTCACATTTGGAAGAACCCTTTCGGGAGAGAGATGGTGTTCCCTTTGGCAGCCAAGTGAACTGTTAACCCACCAGCAGTGGGTTGACAAAGGGCCGAAAATTATCCTGTATGCCTATTCAATAATCCTGTAAAACCATTAAAAATGTGGCACAGAGTCCGATTCAAAATCACGTGCTTTCCTGTCCTGTTATATCGGCGACTGTGATTCTCCACGGCCAAACTGACAGGGAGGGAATGCTTCTTCACGTTCAGAGGGATGTAGATTTTGATCCACGTGCCCACAAGGAGCCGTCGCGGTTGGGGGGAAATAAATAAGTTTCCAACAAATCTCACCTTCGCTTTAGTTTCCTTGGCAGCTTACAAAGAGACGCGACCCCACAGCACATACAAAATAAATAAGCAGGCAATGTCTCCTCCTCATACCCGTCTCTCCACATCTATATATATACTCTATATATAATTCACAAGTGTCGGTCCATCCATCCGTCCACGCTCTGTATCTCCCAAACGGTAACGTCGGAGAAGGAGTGGAAACAACCAAGGATGTTCCTATCGCCGTAGACATTCCCGGGAAATTGTCTCGATTTCCAACATTTTCTCTTTAAAAATGCGACCAACCTCGCTGGAACATCCAAATATCCCGCCACGTGTTCATGACCACTAGAATGCGCCTTGCACTTCCCTGCTCAAACCGGATCCTGCAAAGCCAAAGACCTATCAATTACTTCAAATCGTACAGCTGTGTAGACAATAACGTTCATGCGAACATCCAAATCGCTTACATTTCACTTTCGTCACGCGGAAATTCGCGGGCGGTGCGAGTGAAGCACACGACTCTTGATGACACAGACCACCAGCTGCACGGCCTTGTGGGAAGTGCATCATTTCGGCGGCATTGATTCAAGACAAAGCAAGCCTCTGCACCGGTTTCGACACGCCATCGTCTAACCAGCAGAGCCAGGCTTCTTGAATCAATGCTGGCGAGCTGTCAGATTGTACCGGACCCCCCCCACCCACCCGCTATGGGGCTCCCAGTCACACCTCATACAGCTCTTGTCCTGCAGCTCCGCACACGCGGGGCTGAGTTGCAAGCTTCGTTCATCATGAGCCACCATCTATCCTCTGCTGAAGGCGATCAAAAGCCGCTCCTCCCCCGTCGCCATTCCTCGCGGTCTTGCAAGAATCCACATCTCGAGCACCTGCACACGACGCTTATTTCATTGCTCCATCTCCGCGGCCGGTGGGGGGGGGGGGGGGTCCCCCCAACTGACGCGTTTCTCTCCTTTGGCTGCCGCTCCGTCGTCCGTCTCGGCCACCGGCCGTGATTTCTTCGAGCGAAGCGTCGTTTATGACGTCACCGCACCGACGTCATAGGGCATGGGTGGGGCGTTGCGGGTGGGGCGTTACGGTTGACGTCACTGGAGTCCGCAAGAGGCGCCGGAACGCCAATTAATGTATTAGTTGGAATTTCGGTGACACTCGATTCGAGCAGTCCGGGACGCATAGCCCAGGCGTGTAGCTACGAGATAAGAGCTGCTCGTGAGAGAAGGGGGGGGGGGGGGGGCGTGCAGTTCTACCCCGTAGGGGAGGAGGGGGGGCGAGGGGATTGGTGGATTGCAGGGAGGGGGGTTGCGGTTTGGGGGGTGGGGAGTAGAGGGGTGGGGGCTCTGTCCCGGTCGCTCAATTTTTCCTTTTTGATTCGCACGGCGCGGCCGTTATCAGCGCGCGCAGCCGCGGCGGCGTGGGACCCCCCCCCCCCGCAATCCCATCTCCCCGCCCCCCATCCCATCCCCCATCTCCCCACCCCCCATCTCCCCACCCCCATCTCCCCACCCCCCATCTCCCCACCCCCATCTCCCCACCCCCCATCCCCCCACCCCCCATCTCCCCACCCCCCATCCCATCCCCCATCTCCCCACCCCCCATCTCCCCACCCCCCATCCCATCCCCCATCTCCCCACCCCCCATCCCCCATCTCCCCACCCCCCATCCCATCTCCTAACCCCCATCTTTCCATCCTCCACCTCCCCACCCCCCATCCCATCTCCCCACCACCCCGCCCCCCTGTTCCATCACCGCCCACCCCCGATCTCATCTCCCCACTCCCCATCACATCTCATCTCTTCCCATCTCGTCTCCCCACCCCCTCCATCACAACTCCCCCCGCACCCTCCGAACACCCCTCCCCCACACAGACCCCCGCCCGCGGGATGTCCCCCTCCCCCTCTCCCTCCGATTGCTGCAGCGCGCGCCGCCCATCGATCTTCTCGGTCTGAAATCCCGGCTCTAATGCGCTGCTATTCATGAGCGGGATTGCGAGGT